AATCCAAATAGAAAAAAAGGTGGAGCTGGTGATTAAAAAAGCCTGCCGTAATATCCACAGCACGCTACGTCTCCAAGGATTCGCCATTCAATTGCCCCCCCCCCGGTTTTCTGCCCCCTTTCCCCCCTCGAAATATCAGTTGGCACTCCATGTCCACTGGGCTTGTTCAAATTTCATCAGGCTGTTCTGGAGTTTATTCCCCATTGGGTCCCATTCCCCAAAAAAATATTTTTGTACTTCTGCACACCTCATGGCCCTCAAGTCTCCCTCTTGTGAATGGACTATTTCGGCCATATCAATATCTATATCAGGAGTCAGCAGACTTTTTCAGCAGGGGGCCGGTCCACTGTCCCTCAGACCTTGTGGGGGGCCAGACTATAATTGGAAAAAACAAAAGAAAAAACAAATTCCTATGCCCCACAAATAACCCAGAGATGCATTTTAAACAAAAGGACACATTCTACTCATGTAAGAACCATAGCTGTCAACCGTCCCTTATTTGGCGGGAAAGTCCCTTATCCCAGCGCCGTTTCCCGCTGCTGTCCCTTATTGATGATGTCCCTTAAATTTCCCGGGTTTCAAAGGAAGCAGCTCCTCTCCCTCCCTCCCTGCCGGCCAGGGAGGAGGGAGGCTCCAACTGTGTTGCTTGGCTGCGTTGCTCACCCAATAAGGAGTCTAAGAACGACTGGGGGTGGAGCTTGCATGCCTTGTGCTGATCAAATCGGCCGCGTTGCCTGGGGACTCGCCTTTGCTCAGCGCTTCCCAGCGGAGAGGTGATGGTGGTTTTCCTTGCTGCATCCCCTTTGCCGGGTTGCTGCGCTGTGGGAACCACCGCTTGAGGCTTTGTTTGGCTGCTGGCTGGGCTTTTTGCCTTTGGCTCAGAGGGTCTCAGAAGCTGAACCTTCCTGTGTCTGGAAAATCCTTTATTTTGGCTGCTCATCCCTTATTTTTGAGGCAGCTGGTCCCTTATTTTCAAATCTGTAAGTTGACAGCTAAGAACACGCTGATTCCTGGACCGTCCGCGGGCCGGATTTAGAAGGCAGTTGGACCGGATCCAGCCCCCGGGCCTTAGTTTGCCTACCCACGATCAATATCAAGAAAAGAGATATTGCTATTTGTACAGACAGGTGGGGCTCCACAATATGACGTATCTCTAGTGTGCATGTCTTACCTGAGCCCGAGAGGGTTGGAAAAACCTAAGTTTATATTAAAGACAGGAGCACCTGCTCTAATTTGGATATTATTTCATACGCGATTTCCTTCCCTTTCTTTTTTAATGTTGGAACATTTAAAAGTGCAAACAGTCTGGATGGATGAGCGACTGGATTATAATGATGCAATTGCAACCAAGCCCAGCCTGCAAGGGAGCCCACACTCGGGGCTTTCATTTATGGCTTGTTTGTTTTTAAAATATTCTAGCCCTCCTGGAAGGAAAGTTATAAAACAAAATGGGTAGGCAATTTCTGAGATGAGTCAGCTTTGAATCAGACGTGCTCATTTTAATCTATAAATAGCTTTGATTGAAGCAGCAAGCACCACTGAGTGGAAGGCTGCATCACTAAATTTGACAAACATATTAAGTAGAATCGCCTTTAAAAAAAAGAAAAACGGCAGAGAACATTGGTCGTATGGTCTGTGGATCTTAAAACAATATAAAAATAAAGCTGCAACCTGGATGCCTGAAAATCTTGTAGCAAAATCCAGCAACACGCAATTCACTCAAGCAGTCGGGGCAGGGGGCAATTGGAAGAGTTGCTTTGGGGCTGCTGAAATTGATTGATGATTATTAGATTGGGTAATTGAAGTTTATTTTGCATTCTGGATTGCAACCTACTCAAAAAACAGCCTACATTCTAATTAAGAAATATGGTTATGTTTGGTATGCATTTTTACGAAAGGGGGAGGGGGAAGATAATTTAAACAGAAAATTCAAGATTGTTATTTTCAGGCTCTTGAAGCTGGTACAACTCATTGTGGCTTTTAAAGAGACGACGTAGCTCTGACACTCAAATGAGATTTACATCTACCATACAGTGATATAAAAGTGGATGTGCCCAGGAATTGAAATGGTTAGTTGCTGAGACTCCGTCTGTTCCTGGAAAACCCAGAGACCAGCACAGCAAAGTATTTAACCAACAGAGGCCCAGTCCTTCAGGAGTCTCAAGTTGGCAAGAGGTTTATTTCCATTTTTAAAATTTAAGCTACCCCAGAGCAGGATGACACAATAAGGAAAGCAAGTTTCATCAAGGGTGTCTTGCCGGCGTCCCACAATTTCTTAACAGCTGTTTTTTTTCTGACAAACGTTGGTTCCTGTGAAAAAAATGGCGTCAAAGAACAAGGGCGCCGCTGCTCTGAAGGTTGCCTGTATCAGCGTTAGAGCAGTAAATCTCTTGGCAAGCAGCTCAACAGAGTGGTAAATGTTGCTTCCATTACATTTGTTTTGTGTGTCAGACACTATAATACGACTTCTGTTCATTCGATTCCTAAAGCACTACAGTGCCATCTAGTGAAAGTAAGAAATCTGTCCAGATGTATCAGCTTCAAGCAAAAGTTAACCTGTGCAGAAGAACTAGACAACAGAATGTCAGTGCTAAAAAAACATATAAGGAAGTGGGGGCAATCAAAAGAAAATTAAAATGTTTTGGTGCCCGCAGCAGAGCGCTAGGGTAGGGCACAGTTTGGAGTCTTGGACTGATCCATAAATCAATTTTTATACAGGAAGTTCTTGCCACATGGTAGGTTTGATTCCCCCTTTACAGGAGGTGGTGCTATGGTCTAAACCACTGAGCCCAGGGTTTGCTGATCGGAAGGTCGGTGGTTCAAATCCCCACGACGAGGTGAGCTCCTGTTGCTCAGTCCCAGCTCCTGCCAACCTAGCAGTTCGAAAGCACGTCAAAGTGCAAGTAGATAAATAGGTACCACTCCGGCGGGAAGGTAAACGGTGTTTCCGTGCGCTGCTCCGGTTTCACCAGAAGCGGCTTAGTCATGCTGGTCACATGACCCGGAAAAACTGCCTGCGGACAAACGCCGGCTCCCTCGGCCAGTAAAGCGAGATGAGTGAGAGGCACAAATACAAGATGGGTGACACCTGGCTTGAGAGCAGTACATGTGAAAAGGATCTAGGAGTCTTGGTTGACCACAAACTTGACATGAGCCAACAGTGTGACGCGGCAGCTAAAAAAGCCAATGCAATTCTGGGCTGCATCAATAGGAGTATAGCATCTAGATCAAGGGAAGTAATAGTGCCACTGTATTCTGCTCTGGTCAGACCTCACCTGGAGTACTGTGTCCAGTTTTGGGCACCACAGTTCAAGAGGGACACTGACAAACTGGAACGTGTCCAGAGGAGGGCAACCAAAATGGTCAAAGGTCTGGAATCGATGCCTTATGAGGAACGGCTAAGGGAGCTGGGCATGTTTAGCCTGGAGAAGAGGAGGTTAAGGGGTGATATGATAGCCATGTTCAAATATATAAAAGGATGTCATATAGAGGAGGTAGAAAGGTTGTTTTTTGCTGCTCCAGAGAAGCGGACATGGAGCAATGGATCCAAACTACAAGAAAGAAGATTCCACCTAAACATTAGGAAGAACTTCCTGACAGTAAGAGCTGTTCGACAGTGGAATTTGCTGCCAAGGAGTGTGGTGGAGTCTCCTTCTTTGGAGGTCTTTAAGCAGAGGCTTGACAACCATATGTCAGGAGTGCTCTGATGGTGTTTCCTGCTTGGCAGGGTTGGACTCGATGGCCCTTGTGGTCTATTCCAACTCTATGATTCTATGAGTGCCGCAACCCGAGTCATTCGCGACTGGACTTAACTGCCAAGGGTCCTTTACCTTACAGATTTAGGAGTATTAAACCTGAGACTGCCACTAGTGACTTTTTCTAGAGCAGGGGGACAGTACCTTTAGCCTGGGGGCCAAATATGGCCCTTAAAGGCCAGAGAGAGACCTTGCCCCCTCTTCCAATGCCTTTGGCTGGCTGAAATGCATCTACATGGAGAGATGGAAACACGTGGAGGTGTATAAACCGCTCTCCTTTTGCGTGATTGGAATGTAGCCTAGTGCATCGAGGTCAGAGTGATGTTCAGGGCTCCAGCTATTCCTGGCCTTTTACACCCCTGACATCGTAGCCCGCGCCCCCCTCCTTCAGTCGCTGTGTCACAAGAGACCAGGGCCCTGCGGGACTTGACATCTTTCCGCAGGGCCTGCAAAACAGAGCTGTTCCGCCTGGCCTTTGGTTTGGACTCAGTCTGACCCTTATGTTTCCCTCCCCTTATGGTTTTGATCTATGGGGTACTTTTAAAATGAGGCTGCATTTTAAACTGTATTTTTTTTGGGGGGGGAATCCTATTATGTTTTTATTGTAATTTTACTGGTGTTAGCCACCCTGAGCCCGGCTCTGGCGGGGTATAAATCAAATTTATTATTATTATTATTATTAGTCAGTCATTCCAAGTTTAGAGCCTATATGCAAACATATGAAGTTACATTCGTACCTCGGAAATCAAATGGAATCCGTTCCGGGAGTCCATTTGACTTCCAAAATGTTCGGAAATCAAGGCGTGGCTTCCAATTGGCTACTGAAAGCTCCTGCAGCCAATTGGAAGCCGCAGAAGTTGCGTCAGATGTTTGGGTTCCAAAGAACGTTCGCAAACCAGAACACTCACTTCCGGGTTTGCGGTGTTTGGGAGCCAAAACATTCAACTCGCAAGGCGTTTGGCATCCAAGGTACAACTGTATTCCCCACTCTCAACATGTGCAATACTTTACACTTGGTTACAAAGAACCATACAGTGGTACCTCAGTTTAAGAACAATTTGGTTTACAAACTCCGCAAAACCGGAAATAGTGTCTTGGTTTGAGAACTTTACCTCGGTCTAAGAATCCCTGAAGCATTCCATGTCATCAGCAAAATTGCCCAACCTTAACTCCAGATCATTTAGGGAAAACGGCATGAAAAATAATTAACATTAATTTTTTTTAAAAAGCAAAATGCGTACATCAAAAACTTTAACCAGTTTTATTTTGCTGCACATTAAGAAGCAAGCAATGTATTCTGTTTGCAGTGATCGACAAGTATTGACAGATTTGTTCTTTTGTTAATAAATAATCCAACATTTAAAGGTGGAATAAGTATACTTTTATTTCATAATGTCTGGGCTTTGTGTAATAATTTAACCGTAAAAAGGTAGAAAAGTTCTTTTATACACATCAAAGCACAAAAACATCACTAGCATTGCACATTTAGATTTAATTACACATGTATCTTGCATCATGGTGGCACAAGTCTCTTTTCCAGAGACAGTATATCTGCATTCTAGAAAAAACAACAGGGCAATTCTCATGATTAATGTGAAATCCTTATATGCTAGTGTGGTACCTAGAAATGGGAAGGCCTGGGGAAAAAACTGGAAAAAGGGGCTTTTTTTTCAAAGCTGTTGGAAAACCTGGGCTTTTCCCCCAATTTTCCCAGGTTTTTTCCAGGTCTTCCCAGCTCTAATGGTGCCTGCCTGCTAGCCTGTTTTGCCACGCTACTTTGCTTTCCAGAATACTCTTTTAACAGGACATGAGCATCTATTATTTAGAGAAAACTATGCTTTCCCAGGCATCTACTTATGGATTTGCATGCATCAGAATAAAGTCTTTTGGGGATTTTTGCAAGTTGTGTGTGTCTGCGTCAGTATCACACACAATGGAGTGCAGTATACTTCCCAAAGCAAGGCCAGTATTTCCTTTTTAACCACACAAGGACCTCTATGTACACGTCGCAGCAGCTGAAACTTGCATCCCTTGTCAATAGCTATGATTTTAAGAAAATATATATTATGCAATATAATAAGAGCTGGAACCTTACGACCCCAAACTGGATCATCCATCAAAGGTCCCTCAGAGATGATGTACAAGCCAGCATCTACATAGGCATTGCCTAAGCCATCCTGATATGAAATGCAAGACTGACGGTTTGCGCTGCGGCCCTTGTTCTCAGTTTAACAGCAAACAATTTAGAAAAACTAGGAGAAATCAGCTCCTCAAGACCCTTGAAGCCAAATTTTGTGTGTGCGCGTTCACTGAATCAAGTGGCAAGATGGTTCTCTCCTCTTACTCCCAACCCTGGAATTTCAAAAGCACAAGCGGAAAGAGACACATCGGCTGTTTCTGTGGCATCTGTTCCTTCGTTCAGTCCCATCTCATGTCATCTTCAAACCAGGTCCCAGGGAACTCTAGGACTTCTCTGGAACTTGTCATGGATCCCTCAATATAAAGATCAATGTTGGTGGAGAAGCGTCTCCAAAAGGCTTCCTCACTGCTATTGGCCTTTTCATTTGAGGTGCGTCTTGGGCAGATGGTACATGCAAGACTACAGCAGAAGCCAACAGGAAAAGAGAGAGAGGAGAGAAAATGTACAAACCCAAGGACAGACCAAGGCAGTTCTTGACTGCCAAATCAGTTTGGGAAAGTGTTCCCTAAAGGCAGAAATGTTGATCACCATTCTATAGTGTGAAGGATGACTACAGCTGATCACTGGTATTTGGTTTGGGTCAGTTCAGTGTCTACAGTTAGATATCTGTACCAGACTACAAGTTCTCAAATGTGTACACTTCCCATCAAATCTTAAAAGGGAGAGGCGTGTGCAATATTAAGTGCACGTATCTTTATAATATTTGAAAATGCAAGTCCGATCCTTTCCCAGTTGCTGCTTTCAAGCACGTCAGAGGAACAAGCACACGTTCGTGTGACTTGACGTAAGAGCTCTACCAAGCTAGGTAAACGTAAAATAGGAATCGGCTCATAGAACTACCTTCCATGAAGAAAGGGTGTTACAGTATTCCCTCAAATATGACTTATTTTAGCAAACAACTCTGGTTTTAAGAAGATAATTTATGGCAGTCCGATGTGCGAAGTGCATTTTTCAGGATGGGACGGTGCCCAGTAGATCTGGTGTAGCCAACATGAAGACCAAAACAAATCGAGGGCACTACATTGACTAGCCCTGGTGTAGGCAACACTAACCTAGAAGAATCAATGGTCTGACCTGGTATAAGGTAGCTTTATGAACTTGTATTATATACAATTATAATGAAGCAGCATAAACTGCCTTCTAATAAGCATTCCCAGGGCAGAGCTTACATTTTTTTTTAATGGCACGAACTACGTGACACCCAAGGAAAGAAGCAACATTCAAATGTAATCTACTCTCCCTCTCTCTCTCTCTCTCTCTCTCTCTCCCCCACCCAACACCACTTTGAATAAACTTTTTATTCCTTAAAGGGCAAATTGTGGACAAAATATTTACCTCCTCTTGATTAAAATGCTAGGTACCAGACTAATTGGTTTTGGGGGCTTAATCTTGTCCAAGCATTGCCAGTTGACCACCTCTGGTCTTGTCTCATCTAAAGCTGGACCATACACTCATGAGACAGCTTAGGCATTTCATACCACAATGTGTACTACAGGGGGGAAACGGACTCCTGGCTATTCAAGAAAACTAAGCTACTCCATCTAATCACTAAATTAATTTAAGTGGGAGAGGGGAAGAAGATAATTATTTGCCAACTCCTAACATGATGATCAATCAAGACCATCAGAGGGAACGAATTTCATCAGTTTTGTGAACCTGAGACTCGTCTCTCCCCTCAAACAATTGGCGCAATACAAACAACCGGGACCAATCACTACGTATGACTGTATCCAAGAGCAGCACACGGCAAATTCATTTCTGTAGAAAAATATATTTGGAACCTAAAAATGTTCACATGATTATTCCAGATATGGGATTGTACCCGACATTAGTCACGCTCAGAGAAGACCCACTGAAACCCATAGGACTGACTTAAGTAATTCATTTCAGTGGGTCTATTCTGAGTAAAACAGAGTTGGACGCAACCCATAGATGCTGTGCAATGAACAGCAATCTCATACAGAAACCTGAAAGTTCCCACTTATCAGCCCTGAATTAGAATCCTGGGTTACAATTTTCCACGAGAAAGGGGTTTGCATTTATTTTGTTTTTATAAATAGCTTGTGCCTTTTACCTTTCAGACCTCATAAGAAACAAACACTACTATATCAAATCACAGGTACAAAAACACCTTGCGCTACAAATGCCCTTTCTGGTATCCTAAGTCTAAATATAGTAGAACAACTGGCAAAGAACATCCCAGGAATATCTCAAAGTACTGGCTACGGTTTCCCCCCTGTTGTTCAAAAGTACAGCTCTAAATAAAACTTGCAACTCTTAAGAATTCTCGGAAATTTAGCACAGCAGTCCACCACTAGTACACAATGCTTTAAAGCCAGATCATTTTCCTCCAGTCCCGTTTAAAGAGAGGAAATTACTGGGCATTACGGATGGCACAGAACCTTAAAAGTGGGGGACCTGGAAGTAAATTTCCCAGTGGGGAAACACTCACGCCTTTCCTAAGAGGAGTCTGAACACCCTCTGAGCTTCAGGTGGACCTCGCAATGCACAGCCTCAGCTGCAATCCCTTCCAGATGCAGCTACTCCCTTCCCCATAATTGCAAGAGGGAGGGTTGTGACTCAGTCCAAGACTCCCAATAGATGTTTGGCACTGTGGTGCCAGCACCTTGAGGGCAACGATTTAGGTGTGATATAGGTCCTCCCTCCCATAAATGCTTGTATCCAGGCTGTTCTTGCAGCCACATCCACAGTCTAACAGTTGGATCCTACCAACTGCATTTTGTTTCCATTGTTGGCTGGTTTTGGGTAAAGTGGGGAGGGCCTTCAAGTGGTTGGTATCACAAGGAGCACAACAGCATCTTCACTCAGAACAGAACTGAGTGCAAACAAATTAAGTTTGCATTCGAGCCCAATCAAGCCCAAATTAGCTAGTCTGATGGAAGCTCATTCAAAATCAAGACCAGGGGAGCCAAACTGTCACTATTGGGTATTGTTGTTGTCTTTTACTAACAAGATATGGAAGTCCACCGTGGACACCTTCCCAATCTGAAGTTACTGATATTACGCATGCAGGCAACAAATTTTGTGTGGCTGCTTTAACATCTCACTCACATTCTAAATTATAAATCTACAGCCTGACATTCGATTCCAACATCTTCTGCAATAATGCAGAGATACAAATATACAAGTGCCCTATTAACAAATTTTGCTGGCACAACAAATTCATGGGTCATAAAGTGCAATTGTTTTAATAAATATTCAGCCATCTACTATGCTACCCACTGCATGATTCATCTTTTAATCCAAATTGCACATGTATACCACACACCTTTGATCCCTTTTGCCAATCTGCCCCAAGAACATTGCCGCTAAAAGCAATTCAGTAAACATCATGGTCCGTCATGCAGAACGTGAGAATTTTAACTTTCTACAGAAGTGTATCATTTCAAATCCAAATTCCACCACATGCTTTTTCCCCCGCGCTGTGCTTGACATTCACAAAAAAACGAGATTTTTACGGCAGCAAAGTATTACTTCAGCAGTCCTGGCAGAAAACTGCCTGCAATTTAAATTTAAAGGAATTGTAACAGAGAAGTTGCCAAAAGTGAAAGCAAGCACTTGCAGAATATCTTTGGTACCTGTATAAAGTCAACTCTAATCAATGGGAATTGAAAGGACACAGATAGAAACAGGACGTTGGCAATAAATTTGGACTTAGGTGGGCTGTCAGATGATGAACCGAAATTATTGAATATCCTGACATCTAAACAGAAAAAAATCCCCAAACTGAACACTTTTTTCATGCAACTTATTTCTCAAGTTCTGGAACCACAGGGTGATAGCCAATGTTGTTCATTCACTGGTGGAAGAAAATTAGTTGGCTAGACAGGGAAGCCAAGTAGTTCAATTCTACCTCCCTCCCTCCTTCCCTGAAAATTCCCTCCAGAGAAATGGGTCAGATTTGCAGGAGTTGCATCCCCACCTTTCTATGGATAACCTTCTTCCATCAGCAGACAGTCAAAAATAGATACCACCCATAAATACCACAACTACAATTTATGAAAGGTGACAAATATTTTTTTCCCTTGGACTACTGGTTACAAAAAAGAATGTTTAATCCAATTAAACAAGGAATCCACAGCTTAGCAGTCCTTTCAGTTGCATCCAGGTTCCTTTCCTCTCCAGAAAGGCATCCTTTAGATGCAGCCCTCTCAAAAAGCCAGCTACTCAAACTAAATGTCATTGATTTCATTATGAATTGCTTCCTGGGAAATTGGTTTCAGAGCATCCTTAGCCTCATTGGAAAACAAAGAAAAGCCAACGTGAATATTTTAAAGCTTGAGTTACCAAAACAGTGTTCATATCCAGCTCAATTAACTGCTACTACTAAATGACTCAAGGTGATAACAAAAAAGGTCAAATGAAAAGCTGAAGTATGCAGTGAAAAGGTTATTTTTGTACCTCGTTCCTAATTAACTGGGTCAGTCATTTCAGATCTGTGCTGATGTTCCACGCACAGAGGAGATGTGGCTTTCACAATTTCCAATGAACACAAAATAATCAACAAAAATGGACACTTCCTTTACACATAAATAAGACACACATACAGAGCTGCATTTTCAAAACGTTTAAATATTTAAAAGTCTGGTTTCCTCCTCGTTTTAATTCAAAAAAATGGAGTTTGCTGCATCAAGAAGTCTTTTAATTCCTAGGGTTAAAGGCATCTTTAAGGAAGTGAGTGAGGGGTGGCTTGGGTGAGTGCCTTCAGTCAAGGCATAAAAGCTTTCAGGGCCCTCCCCTCTCTCTACCTATGTGTCCCTTACGTAGCCTTCAGATCCACAGGGAAGAGGGTGTGTAGGGAATCTGGATAAATGCAGCTGCTGAGATTGCTGGTTGCCCTGTGGCTTTTAAAAATGACAGAAGTCTGATAGGATTTCCTATTACAAATTGCAACGGGAGGGAGACCAGAGAGAGTGTAGCAGAAGTATGGGAAAAACTAAAGCAGAGCAAGGAACTGAGTGGGATATTGCTGCAATCCCCCTTATATTTAATTTTCTGCATGTACATTATTTAGTGTTGAGAAGCTGGCAAAGTGTGGGGTGGTGTTTGTTTATTTTTTAAAGCATCTGAGCATGTTAAAAATTTCTAAAGTTCTAAAAGTGTAACTGTCTGGAGGGTGCGCTAGGCCAACACAACGACAGCACTCTCAGAACTAATGTGTTTGCTACATAAGCCCTTTTGAAGCTTCATTAAAAAATAATAAGATATTTTCGGATGGTTTATATACTGCTAATTTTGCTGCACAGAATTTCACCTCTTTGCCAAGTACAGAAGACAAACTGCATGCCAAGTATACGTAATTATTATTTAACAAAAAAATTTAAATTCCTTGCACAATGCAAGGAAATTCCTAATTTGTATCATGATCTGGGGACAATAAAATGTACTGAATCACTACAGAATACCAAAGAGTACACAAAATTCCACAAGGAGGAATACATTATTTAAAGACCAAGACTGCTCTCATCTTCCTGGAATGATAAATTGCCCATGTTTGATCAGGGAAAAGTTACATTCTGCCTACCCAACTTCTTATTATTTCCTGATTAACCTATAATCAATAATGTTCACCATCTCACAGATAGGAGGTGCTGGACAAGGTAACATAAGATGTTCCACTTCATTCAGCCTTGAAATCAAATTGAAGACTAACTCATTAATTCTTGACTTCTAGAGCTTCCTTCTCAGTCTTTTCTTTAATTTTCTCTTTTTCTTCTAGTTTTTCCTCTTTCTGCAACAGTGACATGATCTCTGCAACTTGGTTAGTAGAAATATCAATATCTTCTTTGTCGATGAGTTCTACCACCTATGCAAATATAAACATATGTTAAATGCATAAGTTACATTGTGTTTTATTCACAATTTTTATGAAACTCTACAATTAAGGAGGAAAATAACCGAAGCATATATGCCAAAAATGATTTGTAATGTCAACCACAACCCAATTTCAAAATAGTGTGTTGAATCCAAAAGGACAGCGTGGTATTTTCCAAAGAAGTAAGATTGTTGTTGACATGAGTCTGTATAAATTACAATACAGTTAATATCAAGGGGGCTGGGTAAGTTTAGCCTGGAGAAAAGAAGACTGAGAATTGTTTTGATACTGCTCTGATTTTATAAACTTGTATATTATTCAACATCAATTAGACTTTTGTTTTTAAGCTCTGAATCTATATCACATCTTTACAATTTAACCATACTGCCACAACTTAAGCCAAACTGTTTTCATTCTAAGGTCGGTTAATTTAAGGGAGGTTTTTTTCTTCTTCTAAGTCTTAAATTTGTTAAAACAAATTGTTTAAACAACACAAATAACAAACATTAAACAAAGCAGGTTACATTCTTCAGCAAACTCACCTTGGAAACATCATCTATGTCAATCTTTCCATCTTTATTTTCATCTAGTGCTTGGGCAAGCCTGTTTAGTTTGCTTTCTGGTATCTTCTGAATCTGTTTCATCACATTGATAAGCTCATTGATACTGATGATATTCTCCCTAAATGGGAAACACAACCTGTATACAGCAAGTAGTTACTACAAGGGGTTTTCAAAAAAACAAACAAACTATATGGCACTCGCCATATTCCATACTGAATATATATTTATATATATTCAACTTGATTTATATATATTCAACTTGATTTAAAAAACTGAAATAAACCAAGACGTGCTACTACAGAACCTATGAGAACCTATGAGGTAACCTGCTTTTTCAGAAAAAGGCAGTACAGCCTCCCTCTTTTTCTTATAACCCTAACAAGTATTCTGCTTCAGGACTTTAGAAACATATACAGTGGTACCTCGCAAGACGAATGCCTCGCAAGACAAAAAACTCGCTAGACGAAAGGGTTTTTTGTTTTTTGAGCTGCTTCGCAAGACGATTTTCCCTATGGGCTTGCTTCGCAAGACGGAAACATCTTGCAAGTTTGTTTCCTTTTTCTTAAAACCGTTAATACAGTTGCGACTTGACTTCGAGGAGCAACTCATAGCACGCGGTGTGGTAGCCTTTTTTGAGGTTTTGTAAGACTTTGGTGATTTTTGAAGCTTTTCCAAAACTTTCCCGACACCGTGCTTCGCAAGACGGAAAAAATCGCAAGACGACAAAACTCGCGGAACGAATTAATTTCGTTTTGCGAGGCACCACTGTACCCAACAAATCCCCTTTGGAGGAGAAAACAGCTTGCCCACTACCATATTTCAAGAAATGTTAAGGTCTAAGTCCTGCTAAGGACCAATCTTAAGAGAAGTCTTGCTAAACTTCAAGGAAGGCCAGTGATTTCTGAGATGCTTGAGGACCAGTGATAATTTACATTTCATTATTTTCTACTACTTAGAAGCAGCATATTTTTTAATTACTTCTTTGGTGGCATATCATCCCTTACATTTGTCTTGTAGTAATTTTGATTGGGGTTATTAAAATTTAGCTCAAGAAAAGCATCATAAATTACTTTTACTTATTTAGTGGGAGTTATTCGTATATGAATTACAGGGATCCAGGACCAAAACTAACGCTTCCTAATATTTCAACATGAGTTGATTCCAGACGAGGGCATAATATTGTAAGCAGGTGTTGACTTATTGCAGCTAGGTCATTGGCAAAGGTGTGGGTTTTTTTGTTTGTTTGTTTTTTAAAAAAACAAGCATCAGATTTCTCCCAGAAAGGGCAAATCTAGATAAAGCAGGTAGAAAATATGGGCTATTTTGATGACATCATCATGCCATTAAAAAACTCTCTGGGGCAACCGCCCTTTGAATACTGTGGGCAATTCCATGTTGTGGAGCTGCACACTGTTCCAAAGGCAACCAAAATTATTAAGGGGGTAGAGCAGCTCCCCAATGAGGAAAAGTTAAAGCATTTGGGGATTTTTAGTTTAGAGACTAAATTTGGGGATTTTTAGTTTAGGGACGCGTGTGGCGTTGTGGGTTAAACCACAGAGCCTTGGACTTGCCGATCAGAAGGTCGGTGGTTTGAATCCCCGCGACAGGGTGAGCTCCCGTTGCTCGGTCCCAGCTCCTGCCCACCTAGCAGCAGTTCGAAAGCACGTCAAAGTACAAGTAGATAAATAGGTACCGCTCCGGCGGGAAGGTAAACAGTGTTTCCGTGTGCTGCTCTGGTTCGCCAGAAGCAGCTTAGTCATGCTGGCCACATGACCCGGAAGCTGTACGCTGGCTGCCTGGGCCAATAAAGCAAGATGAGCGCCGCAACCCCAGAGTCGGTCACAACTGGACCTAATAGTCAGGGGTCCCTTTACCTTTACTAGTTTAGAGAAAAGGTCAGGAAGAGGCAAAATTACACAAGTGTAGAAAATTGTGCATGGAAGAGTGGATAGAATTTGTTTTTCTCCCTCTCTGGTGATACTGGTGTCCCTCTCACATGACCTGGGCTCATCTAATGGAACTGAATGTGGACAGATTCAACTCAGAAGGCTTTAAAAGATTAGACAAAATCATAGGAGTCAATGCTTTAAGTGGAATAATCAGATCAATAAATTAAAGTGGAAATAAAATTTGGTATTATATGGTTTTGTATATGTTTTGTAATAAGCATGTACTTGGTCTCATTCACTATTTATGTTATGATTAGAATAAATTATCCATGTAAATATTTTGGAACTGATACGCAAGAGTTCAGATTGAAAAAGTCTGAGAGGCACTTCCTTCTGCAAAGGAATCAACCCATATTCACAAGAACAATCCCCTACTTGTATCACCTGACACTTACCCAATGGGAGGGCTAGCACTACTGTCCAGCTGTCCATCCACCACTTTTTGTTCTGTCTCCAACTCCGTGATAATTTTGTCAATCTGTCCAATCATTCGGTTCACTCTTTTAGTCAATCTCTTGCTTGCTTTAGACTCTTCAACTATTTCTTCTTCTCCCTCCTTAGACAACTCCTTGATCTCTTGCAAATCCTGAGGATCAAAGAAAAAACATGGTTCATAAAACCATAGTATTTAGCAAAAATCAGAGGTATCTGCTGCATGTACATCCAAAAGACAACTGCAGAATATCAAGGGTATGGTAAGACAAAAGAGAGTTAGGTATATTTTTTAAATACAGTATTCCTATTCCTGGGGGCTGCTTTTTAAAGTATCTTGTTGAATGGCTACGTAGTTCTCCACTTAAGCATCCCCTCGCTTGTCAATCACACCAGGTGATATGCTTTGGAGCCCTATCTGTTGGGAACTCAACGTGGAGTACAGCCCTGCACTGCTCTTTGAACCTCTAGGTTTCAGGAGCAGCACATAGCTGTCAACCGTCCCTTACTTGGCGGGAAATTCCCTTATCCCAGCGCCGTGTCTCGCTGCTGTCCTTTATTGATGACGTCCCTTAAATTTCCCGGGTTTCAAAGGAAGCAGCTCCTCTCCCTCCCTCCCTGCCGGCCAGGGAGGAGGGAGGCTTGGCTGCGTTGCTCACCCAATAAGGAGTCTAAGAACGACTGGGGGGTGGAGTTTGCATGCTTTGTGCCGATCAAATCAGCCGTGTTGCCTGGGGACTCGCCTTTGCTCAGCGCTTCCCAGCAGAGAGGTGACAGTAGTTTTCCTTGCTGCATCCCCTTTGCCGGGTTGCTGTGCTGTGGGAACCACCGCTTGAGGCTTCTTTTGGCTGCTGATACCTTATTTTTGAGGCTGCTGGTCCCTTATTTTCAAATCTGTAAGTTGACAGCTATGGTCAACATGGAGCAACAAAAAGCAGCTGGCCACCACCATGGGTACCCTTTTCACTATCACAGCAGCTGGTGGATTCAAGGAAGGGGTCTGGTGTGGCCTTAAAGAGATCGATTTGTGACAATCTTCCTATTATGTGGCTTCAAAAAGCTATGGGGGTTCAGACCTCACTTCTGGCTTGTACTCAGGTGCTTGGAAAAGTTATTTGTCTTTCAGCCTCACAAGTCTGCATTCTGTGAGAGGAGTTTACTGAGTGGCCATACTCACCACAGCAGCCCTGTTATGACACGGCCAAGGACACTCTCAAAATTCATACCTCACTATATTCCTGCACATCATCTCTGAGCTCCTCAAGCTCCTCCTTTTCCTTTGTTAGCGATTTCTTTTGTTCCTTCAGTTTACTACAAGCATCACTTAACAAGTCAATCTCTTCTTTGGTTATTTCTTCACCCTAAAAAAAAATGGGGGGAGGGTGAGAAATGAAATAATTGTTATAAAGAGAGAGTCCCTTCCAGAAAACGGTTGGAACTACTCTTATGTTTTCAACATCTTTATTTTACCTTTTTAATAAAATAAAAAAGTGTAATTCCATGGGAAATCCAGAACTTTCTGATCATCAAGATGTGTATAGATAAAGGATGATACTAATAGCACAGGATTATAATTACCTGTCCTATATTAGAGCTGTTAAAGGATCTTAAAATAACTAGACCCCTAATTAATAGGATTGCTTAATGCAGTATATACAGGCTGAGTGAAAAATCAACCCAGACTCCCAAACTTCTACCCGTCACAAATGCAACAGACACAGTGCAAGCTGTGAGATGTGCAATCATCTTGTCCAACCAAAATAGAGAGAAGTGATGTGCTTAGGTGGCAGGCTCTGTTGAAAAAGCACCACCATGACATAGTTTTTCCATGTCTATCAGACAACACCCACTTTACATGCCAGCATGGTTTATCTCCATGCTGAACAGAATTCAGAAAGGTATGAAATGGGGACAAAAAAGCTATTTTCCCCTTGTATGTCTAGATATTGTTTTATATGTGCGACATAAGTTGCATCTATCACCTGCATGAACCACTTGCCCTTTCAACAGTGTACCTGCTCTCTTATCTGGACTGCAAAAGTTGTTCATGTAACGTATGATGTAGCTGTAAGTTAAGGAAGGTGGAAGCCATCGTTAGAAAATCTTCTGGAGATACCTTGCAGGTTTTCTTGGGTAACAGTTTCATATGTAGCTCATGCATAAAGTCCAACATACAAGTTTCCTTTACACTCCCAGAGGGTTTCAAAAGCAATTGCTATTGGTTGAGATGAAAACCAGAGAATGCACAATCACTGGCCAAGTCCTCTCTGGGCAAAAGGGGAAGTCTGAAGATCTGTATATAGCTTCTGACTCCATGAAACAATCTTCTACAAGATTTTTTAATACTTGCAAGAGAGAAAAGGCAGCAATTGTGTTGTGCCTTTTTCTTGTCAGTACTTATTTTTCTCCGCACTGCCTAGCATAACTAAGCCTGCTTCTGGGGGGCTGAGAAAGAGGAGAAGATGGAAATTTGCTAGAAAAAGTAAAGGATAGTGCTTGTGGAGAAAGAGGCACATTAAGTTTTCCAGTAAGAAATTTCATCAAAATACTAAAGCCTAAAATAAGGATGGGGGGGGGGATTCCTAGAATTCTCACACACTTATACAAGTTTCCAGGCCAAGTGACATCACAGGAGGATCACTTAGACCAGTGTTTCTCAAAGTTGGGTCTCCAGTTGGCCCTGCTAGCTAGGGATGATGGGAGTTGTAGTCTGACATCAGCTAGAGGCCCAACTTTGAGAAACACAACTTGTGTCTAAGACAACTATTGGGCACATCAGAGTTTGGAATTTAACAGAAATGATATTGCTCATAAGCCATTTTACTACTTCTAGTAGGTGCTTTTAAAGTTCAAGTTTTCAATGTTCCAGAAATAAAAAAAGCATTCCTAACCTTAACACATAGCCACCACAGCCATGCTTCAAACTTTGCAGCATGAAAATAACAAGAACTAATAAGTAGACATCCATGTTCTTACGACTACTTCTATGCAAGAGGTACACAATTACTAAATTATCAGCTATGAAGTACACCAGTGGTGGCCAACTCTTTTTGGAAAATGTACCAAGAGTTAATTGCAAACTAGTTGATAGGGTCACTTTTTATGCCATAACTAGGTTCAGATGACCTTCAGAAGAACCACAATCTCCCACAGCCTCTGGGCCCAAGTTGGCTACCCATGAAGTACGCTATACAGAATGCTAAACTATACTATACAAGATTACTACACAACAAGAGCAAATATATATTATGCACTGTGATTAATTTATAAATATTAGAAAAAGCTAATCAATCTAGTTAAGAATATGATACAGAAACCTCCATGTCAAATCTTCCATATCTACTAACCCAGATAGTACATTTCAAGGAAGTGTGAATTCTTGCTATTGTTCAAACAAAGACAAGCCGGCAGGATTAACCCATAAAACCACAATTGTTGTTGTTTTTTTAAGTGGATGCTGAAGAATCTAAATGAAAAATACCCAATGAAGATCTCTTTCAAGTCAATATACTCTTCACTGGGGTATATTAAGACTAGTGGAAGGAATAGAGAGAGTCTCCTAATCACTCAGGTTTGGAAGTAGCCTAACCAGCCTTATTTTAATCAGTTCTTGAGCAAAGAGGCTTCTCAAAATCTATAGCTTAGAATGTGTGGGCCTTGTTGGGACTCCCAATGAGCAGAAATGATAATAGTCCAGGAACACATGAAGGACTACAGGTTCCCATCCCTAACATAGACATTAGAGAGCCTGTGCCTATAATTTTTCTTAATGGACAATTTGGAGAAGTTTAGACTTGTTTCAAGTGCAGTGCAGCTCTGCAACCTCCACCAAAATGATCTTTCAAAGCAACCCAAAAATGCAAGAGATCTTGGGCACCATGAAACAGACATGGAGCTCTGAATGGAAGCAATCTGAACTGGATATTGGTATATACAGGCATACATTTAGTGTGAATCTGCATCTTTCATAACTGGATTCATTAGCTAATTTAGACAGAATTAACAACCACCCCAGAGTCACTGTTCACTGCATAATTTACACAGGAGACCCAAAAAGTAGTCCCGATTGTCACCTGCACAGTAGCTAACTATGTCCCCAGATTTCAGCCACTTACAATGTTCTGCAAATGAAAAACACCTGTAATTATAAAAAAAACCCAACAGCAGCTCTTCCACAAAATCTATTGATTTTCTTGGATGAGAGTTAATCTTGCAACAGCCCAACGTGGAAAGTATTGTGGTGCGTTGCAGTATATTCGCTCTCAGCCTTGCCCACTATTCACCTTGATGCCCTCCAATACGGGTGCTGTATCTTTCAAAGTCTCTGAATGCAGGGTCAAGTCCACCTTTGCCAGTTCTTGTTCGGTATCCACAGCTATCTTGCTCTCCTTTATATGCACAGCTGAAGTATCAAGATCTATTGCATCCACCTCCTTCTAAAACACAAAGTGACAACATCGTATGAAACCCGGAATTTAAAAACACATTTTGAACACGACCCCAAGTTCCACCTTTGAAGCTCTATGCATGGCATTTGACAGTTCCAACACATGTTCTTCATGGGGAGAGAAGGAATTATATCAGTTGTTGTCTCTGGCTGGTGAGTGGGACTAATTTCATTTCACCTTCATGTTTGCATTTGCAGGGTAGCTGAAAGGGCAGGAAAGAGGAGGAGTTCTTGATCCACTGGTACAGGTTGATGCCCCTCCCAATGATATAATTTTTGCTGAGAGAGAGGGGAAAGAATTCTGCCAGCAGCTTTTGATGGGGGCCAGGTTGCTTCTGTATGTGCAATATAATGATCATTATTGGAAAGGCAATACAGTGGTACTTCGGATTACGTACGCTTCAGGTTACATATGTTTCAGGTTACAGACTCCGCTAACCCAGAAATAGTGCTTCAGGTTAAGAACTTTGCTTCAGGATGAGAACAGAAATCATGCTCCGGCAGCAGAGCAGCAGCAGGAGGCCCCATTAGCTAAAGTGGTCTTCAGGTTAAGAACAGTTTCAGGTTAAGTACGGACCTCCGGAACGAATTAAGTACTTCACCCGAGGTACCACTGTATGTAGGAAGAGACTCTACAGGCAGCAGCTCCTGTAACACTAAACTCCTTTCAATCTATTTTTTTTTGGGGGGGGGGTAGAAACCATACATTTTCCTCTTTCACAAAGGATTATAGAAGGTTTGTGCAGAATTGTGATACTAAAAATCAGAGCCCTTATAGTGAACCATTTTTTTTAAATTAAAAAACAGTTGGGAGTTCGGCATAAGAAGTGCTTAAAACTATCCTGTAACCAGTGCAAGCTTACAACTTCCCCCTACTTTTACATATCAAACCCCTGATCTGTGATTAAGCTTCTGAAACAGTTGCAGAAAAAAATGTATGCATCCAAGTGCCCCTTTGCAACGTGACCATCATATGTATTTATTATTGTATTTATTATATGTATTTGTTATGTATTTGGAAGTTGCCCATTTGGAAGAAGTGCAAAATCAACTTCACAGACAGTTAAGGGAGATTGGGAAAAAGTCAATTTTAAATAAGGATGGAGTAAAGCGTTTAAAACCAACACTGGTGCCTTTTTAAAGAGCCTACCCTTTCAGCGACCTGAAGAGTCTCTTTGGCCTTCTCAGCAGCTTCTGACAGCCTTTCCAATTCTTTTTCTTGGTTTTCTTTCCTAATAGCTTCTTCCTCCTGAAGGGTTGCCTCCAGTCTGGCTTTATTGTCCAACTTTTCTCCTTCCACCTCTGCCGCTTTAACTTGAGCTTCTTTGGCCTAAAACAAAAATAAGAAACCAATCAACTTTCCAGATTTTACACTGTTCTATAGGAATTTTAACAGAAGAATAAACTTAGTACTAGCAGTCTGGTCTAGCTGTTTACTTCTGCATTCTACAATGTAAGAAAGCTCCCACCAATCCTATGCTGCTCACTCACACAGGGTGCAAGAAGAGTAATACTTAAAAGTGCAAAATGGGCCATCCCCAGCACTAGAATTATACTACAGTGAATATACTGGCTGTAGCAGAGAAAGCCCCCTAAGGAACAAAGATTTTAGATTTAATGGTGTTAACAGAACGTAGTTGCAATTTAAATAAGACATACCACACTTTCAGGTAGTGTTTGCAGGGTCGTTTTAAGCTGGTCAGCTGGTGAAAGAGTATCTGGAAGGTACATAGCTCTGGATAAAATAAGCAGTGAAGTTGGGATTTCCTGGTTCAGATGTAAGTCTAACCACTGCAATTAAAAGATAAAAGTATTAGAACAGTACATCTTTCTGCACTCCAAAACACTTATGAACTGGGTAAATCAACCTTAATCCATTTATTTTTCAACTGCTAGTGAACTTCTGAATAAAAGTGCTGCTCATCAAGGATTTGGAGCAGGAGAATATCATGTTAAACAGATATCTGATAACAGATAGTCTTTCCTAGGTAAACAACTCTCAGTGTGGGACACTGATAGGAGTTTGCGGCAAGTATATTTGCCTCATAGCAACATACCTGCTCAATGCAAAGATTGTGGACATCACAGTACTAGGAGGGTTGGAAAGGTATGACAGTGGGTTAGGAGAGCAGAAAAAATGACAACATAGTTCACATCTGGCAACCAATGGGTAGACGAGCCTAAAAAGCTTGGGACACTAATTTTCACGGCCCTCTTGTGGCTATGTGGCTCAGGCGTCAACTCTGGAAGTGTTGGAAGGCCTTTGCTCTAGGAAGCTTAGTTTGGTCAGAATAGAGTATACATTTCTAGGTTTAATGCTAAATGCATTACTTCTGGTACAACCTCTCCTCCTCCCGGAAGGGAGGGATTGTGACCGGGAACAGATTCCCACGATGCGCAGGGGGCGTTCCGGCCCCTGCCTGCCATTGTCGCTGGCGTGCCACCCCCCCCCCCGGAACGGCACCCAATCGGGTGGCAGCTCGGGGGCGTAGTTTAGCCGCTCAAATGCAGCCGTGCCAGCTTTCCCCGCCATTGCGCTGCCAAAATTCTTCACCCACCCACCACTCCCTTTAGTGCTTCTCACTTGACCTTGCTATGGACCTATGGTTGGTCGCCTTGGTTGTCCGGGGGGCCTGGTAGGAGTTTTTCCCCAATTGGCAAATTGGCACCGGCCTCTTGGTTTTTTCACCTACCTCGTAGCAATCGTCACAACTTTCTCAGTATTTGGCGGTTAGCCATTGGAATGTGTTGTTGGTGTGTGGAAGGGCAGGGTGTGGCCATCGCCTATCCCTTCACTTATGGGTATTCCGTTAAAGGAATCAGGCGGTCATGGATCCTGTCCGATGCCCTGAGTGGCTGGAGGCCATGGCACAACCCCCGGTGACATCAGGGGAGAGCTTACAGTTGTGTTTGCATCAACAGGCTCCCCCTACTGGTGGTTAACCCTAGACAGACTCACCCCTCTCCGAGTGGGTGGAGTCAAAATTTGCTGTTGTCCAATGCTTAAGCCAATACCTCTCACATGCTGTAATCAATAAAGTTGTGGCCTTTTCTAGCCCATTAACCTTATATACTGTGTCCACGTGTCTTTATTATTCATGAGCGGGAGGCGGGTCCTCGAATCACAAATGAAGGACCAAGAGGCAATGCCAAAACACACACAGCACGAGCTGCTTTTGGGTGATCAAAAGCTCGTGTCCCTTCTTTCTTCATCAGTACCTGCTTAAGCTGATCCCTCAAACGGTCTTCTGTTACGCCAAGTGCTCTCATGCCTCTTGCACGACATGCTGCTTGTAGCTCTTTAACCGTCAGGCTATCCACATTTTCCTCAGCGATCAGCTAGACAGACACAAATATCAATAACTATACTCATCCCTGTGAAGAAATTATCTTTGTGACCTAATAATACAATCATTACAAGAAAGCAGGATATCATTACAGGATGGAATTCGGTTTAGCGCCAAACAAGGGCTGCCAAGTATGTTCTAATCAACTGTTCTATGTTTCGTGGTAAGACTATAGCTGCCCCATAGCAAGTCTAATTGTGAAAAAGACCCAACATTCCCAGATGAATGAAATTCTGCATTCCACAATGCAGTTGCTTAAAGTAATTTTAAAAGCCATTAGAAACAACAGAAGCAACTGGAAAATTTGTAGCAAAAAGGAATTCTCTTACTTTATCATCTGCTTTTATAGATCTCAACCTCATTATTAGCTGAAAACGTAGAAAATTATTTGTCCCGATTGACTGAAGTTCTAACAGTTTACAGAGAGCAACCAGCTGAGGTCTTGTGAGATTATCAAGGGTTAGCTCATCTTCAAATAGTTTAGAGAATCGTAAAATTTCTTCATTGCTTGGTCTTTCACCAGTTTCACGGATCTGAAAGTAGAAAACACATGTTATAAGACTTAAAGCTACATTCCCTCAACTTTTATTTAAGAAATGTGCAGTTCTTTAATAACATATGGGGTAAGTCTCAGTCTCATGACTCCACACTTATGTAATTTGGAATCAAGTGAAAAATTCAGTTTTCCTTTGAAGCAACGGCCATAGCACCTACATATAACTCTATCAGACAAGCAAGAAGAATTGCCACCATTCAAGTACGCATCCCAGCCAGGCACTTGAGGATGCAGCGCAGGCCCAGAGAACACAGGTCTTAGGTTTCCCACCCTCGTTGACCAATTCATGCCAAAGCAGGAAGTTCACAGCTACAACATCCATGGTAGGCTCTTATCCGACCTCTGCTTAAAAGCCTCTACACAAAAGGAAAAGGGTTATTCGCTACTGCTGCTAGATTTTTGATACACCGAGAATAGGAGGTGCAATGCAGGTGGCAATCACTGACAACCCCAACTCCAGTCTGAACGTTCTGTAGCTGGACAAAGGCAAGCACACATTTGAGTGGGGCAGGCCATAAGCTAGAAGGCTGTACTGAATGAAGCAGTGTTGTCATCTTAAACTGGTTGTTAACCAGACTGGACAAGCTGTATTTCAACAGTTTTGAAAATGGGGGCTTATGCATGGAAGAACACTATATGTGCTCTTTACATTTTTAAAAATCTGAAGCTATCTATTTTTTAAGTAACCTGTAGCAGTTCAAAGTATTTGGGTCCCCTATCCTGCAATTCTCTTTTAAATGTCTACCATTTTCATTTACTGTATTTTTCGCCCTATAGGACGCACTTTTTCCCCTCCAAAAATGAAGGGGAAATCTGTGTGCGTCCTATGGGGCAAATACAGGCTTTCGCTGAAGCTTGGAGAGCGAGAGGGGTCGGTGCGCACCGACCCCTCTCGCTCTCCAGGCTTCAGGAAGCTATCCGCAGCGTGGGGAGCCCTACGGGAACTCCCGGAGGGCTCCCCACGCTGCGGATAGCAGCCTGCCGCCTGGCGCTACGAGCCCCCTGAAGCAGAGCGGCCCGCGCGCCAGGCAGACATCCGCAGCGTGGGGAGCCCTGCGGGAACTCCCGCTGGGCTCTCCATGCTGCGGATAGCAGCCTGCCGCCCGGCGCGCAGGGCGCCCTGAAGCAGACCTCCCCTTCTCTCAGTAAACAGCAGCACCCCTGCTGCCAGGAAGCTAATGTCATTAATCTTCCCCACAGAGTAAATCACTTCTGGTGACCAGAAACCACAACCAACTGCCTTGGAGGTCTGATAGCTGAATCCACTGGAAATGAAGAGGGATTCAGCAGAGATAGCTCTAAGGAGGAGGACAAATGGTTGTCAAACTCTGAACCTAAAACTTTTGGATGAGGAGCAAGTCAACCCACCAAAAACTCCCATTGGAAAAATTTAAAGAAATAATTTGGTGCGATTCAACAGGCTTCAAGCCTGACTACCATCTCTAATGGCATAAAATACGTTTTGCAAGGATACAAGAAAGTACAGTACCTTTCCAGTAGTCATGCCTAGGGTTTGAAACTCTCTCCTAAGGAGGCATGTTTAGTGCCTTTCACTTGCATTAAACTCCCACCAGCAAATGGAGGCCTTCTTGTCTGGGCAAATTTTTAGACCGCCAGAGTGATTTGTTTTTCTGCTTCTGATTTTTGATTGGCTGCTCTTCTTACACACCTACACTTGCTTTCAATTAGTGTTTTTAATTGTGGTTGTATGTGGCTTTTTGACATTAACTTCTATACTGCATTATATATTACTGTTGTTCAACACCTTGGGTGCTTAATGCAGAAAGGCGAAGTATGAGTGAAATCTAATGTTGTGGAAACCCCCTGGACTAAATTTTGAAGCGGCTGCATGGAGAAAAAAGGTGGTGAAGTCCCATTTCACTAATACACCATCAGTAAAAAAAGAAATAGTTTACCTTTTGAAAGAAGGTGGAAAAGTCTTTAGTAACATTCCCTTTGGCTGCTTTATTTTTTAAGGCGATCTCTTCAATGGTATCTTGAAGAAATTTAGCCAGTTCAAGCTTCACTCTAAGCTCTTTCTTCAATCTCTCTTCCTAAGAAGTAAATAACAAATTGGGTTCCGTGACAGAAGAAAAGGAATTTAATCAATCAGAACATCTGTTTTGCCACAAAGTATTAAACTGCTGATTCATATTTTAGTTACCTTCTTAGACTTTGTCTCAAATGTTGAAGGGAGCATATTGGGGAACAGCTTTACAGCTACGGGAAGCAGGAATTCCATGAAAGGAACAACAAGAAAGACTAGGAAAGGGACCAACCGAAAGAGATCAGCACATATCCGAAGGAACTGTAAGCAACAAATAAGTAAGGAGATTAGTAACCATAAAAACAAGTCAATCTGACATAGCATGTCATCCATAGTATGATATTTATTTGTATTCTGCATCATATTCCAACAACTTTTGGTATATAGAAAAAGCATCTTAACATCAATTTGTTAGAAGATAATGAACTGAATTGCAAGGTAATATTTTTGCACTCCTTGCTTTAACACTGTTACATTCCAATCAGCTTTCATTTTAAACCAGACTCCTTTCTCCTTAATTTACAAATTGAAATGTTCGCTTTTTGCTTCTGCTGTAAAGTCTCTTACATATATATTTCAACTACAATAGTTGAAGCAGTGGTGTGGTAGTTATTACTGAATACAACTATTTTATCTATGGCTTTGAGTAAGTAAAATGAAGAAATTTACAATTGTAAAAGTTAGAGAAAGGAGGCAACTAATAAACACATTGAACTTTGACGCACTGAGCTCTATATAGTCAATCTTTCAGTTTGACATTAGTTAACACTAGTTAATATTAGCCCTGGACCAGTCTGAGGGCAATAGTGCCTTCTTTGGCTGCCTCCTTCGTCCCTGCTCTGGGCGCTGGCAGCCGAGGGAGCTGCAGCAGTTTCACCCCAGTGCCTCACAGGGCCGGGGGCCAATGCTCCTTGCTTCCATGTACTGGGGGCAGAGAGAGTTCTGGTGGTTTCAGGTTCAATGCTCCTTCCTTTTCAACATCACAATATATCACTATACTGTGATGTTTACCTGGTGATACATCGCAAAATTGAAAAGCTGGTGTCGCCCAGCCCTAGTTATTTCATAGATCAACTCAATAGGGTCCTTAGATTCTTTAAACTCTTGTGGACATAGTGGTTTGGATGCTAGCTTCCCTTCTAGAAATGAAACAGAGATAGAATCGCACAACCAGACTATCCTCTGGCGCTCCCTAAAAATCTACTACTGAGAGATGGGGAATCCCTGGGAATGGTGCAGCATTGTATAGCGGTTAGAGTGTTGGCCCATGACCTGTAAGACCAGGGTTCAAATTCCCAGTTGGTCATGAAGCTCACTGGGTGGCCTTGGGCCATTCACTCTCTCTCAGCCTAGCCTACCACACAGGGTTGTTCTGGAGATTAAAAGAGGAGGGAGAGAACCATATACATCACCTTGAACACCTTGGAGAAAAGGGTAGATAATAATAAATACAGGTGTTGGAGGGGGCTGTAGATGGAAGGGGAACTTGCTCCTCCTTGCACAAACAGAAATGCAACTTGGGTTGAAGCCATTATATGAAATGTTTTTTTTTATAAAAAAAATTAAATAGTAGTTTTAAATGTATTTTAGTCTAACCCCATCATCTTTTAAATCACTATATACTTCAGGTGTATGCATAGGTTGTATACATTGAAAGAAAGAAAAATACAAATCGTTCAACTGTTAACTTTAGTTTGCTATTACCTCTAATAAGAGGTAAAGAACAAGAGCGAGTCACTAGAATGGATGCACAAAAAAGCACTGTTACCTGTTAACAGTGTTAAAGAAATAAATGCAGAGCAATTTTCTTTACAACAGTAAAAGCAAGAGAACCAGTGTCAAAGATGCAGAACTTGCGGCTAGTCAGAAGTTGTCAGATTATAGCTTCCATCATCCCTGAACTCTGGCTATGCCAGCTGGGAGATGAAGTCCAACATCTGGAGAGTCACAGGTTCTCCGTGGCTGAGCCATATAAGGGAACACTTGATGATGGAGTCCCCAACATGCACTATTAGAGGTTTCCCTTGTACTGTATGATGTTTAAATACTGAATGATGTGTTGATATGAAAATGTGGAATCTTAAGCCTAAATTTGCAAAATGAGAAGTGATAGTGCCTCAACAACTGTATGCTATGACAAATCGTTTCCAGTGTCATGACAACGCTGCAAGCAAAAATTTCTGAAACCAGTGTTCGAAACTCCCATTGTTCTAGGAGCATTTTGCAACAGGGAATTTCATTAGTGCAAGCAGTTTCTGGGCTCTGGGCGCAGTACTGCGTCTCCAATTTCAGATTAAAACTGCAGGGTGGAAGGAAAGGAGGACCCTTTTCTGCCTCCCCCACTTCCAGCCACTCTCTGAAGACTGGAGAAGAGACCCTCTTAAGAATATTAGGGGGGTGGGCAGGGGAAGGACTAGACCATGTGAAAAATGAACATAATATTTTAGCTGTAGTTGATTCATTTTCAACTTTGTATTCTGGTTATAAAAAAGCACATCCAGACATTCATTGTTACGTCCATAACCTACATTTAAAGTACCACTTAGATCCTAGCTTTCATTTCTAAGTTTCTAACACTGTCTGAAACTATTCAACTGTTCAGAACATAAAAATAAAACTACAAAATTATAGATATTTAATCTAGTGAACAATTATTGCAATAGACTCGATTTTTGTTTTTCGATATGTAAAAATGTACAGCAATTTAAGCAGCAATCCTATACCCACTTACCTGGTAGGAAGCCCCATTGAACTGAACAGGGCTCACTTCTGAAAAGCATTATGTGGCGTAGCATAGCTAAAGAATATACAGATAACTTGCAGTTTACACTGATTTCACTTGTGTGGAAGCTTCCCAGGGTCCTCCCGTGACCGTCCCTGAGCCCAGTAAACAGCCCTCTGCCTTGTGGAGGGGCAGTTTGGGAGTTCCTGTCTTTATGTGATTTTTTGTTTACATGTGGACCCCTAGAACTGAACCCTCACGTAAGCTGTGAGTTACCTGTATACCACTGAGTGCAAGTAGCTTAAGGACACTGGTCACTCAATGTTTTTCTACTATGGGGTAGAAAAATTGTGCACACTTTTCTGGGTAAGAATATGCAAGTGATGTTCTGCTCCATTTAAATGCATATAGAAGCTGCATTGTACATTACAAAGAAAAAACCAAACACTTCAACGAATGTTCATGATGTTTTGTACAGCCATTACAAATGCTTAAAAAAATGCATAAGCAGCCTCGGTCCAGTATACCTGCAGGAGCATCTCCACCCCCATCGTTCTGCCTGGACATGAGGTCCAGCGCCGAGGACCTTCTGGCGGTTGAAGTAGCTTCGGGTTGAACATTTTCAGGTTGCGCTCTGCGGCGACCCAGAAGTAACGGAACGCGTTACTTCTGGGTTTCACCCCTCGCACATGCGCAGACACTCAAAATGATGTCACGCGCATGTGCGGAAGCGGCGAATAGCAACCCACGCAGACACGGGTTGCGTTCGCATCCAGAGGTACCACTGTCTTTTAATATTTTGTTGGAAGCCGCCCAGAGTGGCTGGGGAAACCCCAGATGGGCAGGGTATAAATATTAATAAATATTATTATTATTAATTATTTCAACCAGTGATATTCAAGGTGATGTGCATTTACTGGCAAAAATGTTTCAATAATATATTGCTAATGTCACTCTGTATAAACAATAAAACTGTTAACTCAGCTTTTAAGACATCTAAAATTGAACCACCAAAACAATACAATGGATTCAGTACCTGTCTCCGTTCTCGGCGGGATAAAGTGCTGCCATGAAGAATTCTCCAGAGCATCCTTGCAGCAATTTTTGTATCAATCCACAACAATCGAAAGCCATGATAGTAGTGCTTCAGTTCATCAACAATTCTCTGTCCTATAGATCTTTTAACTATGCTTTCTTCTACTGTTGGGCTATAAATTGGGCCCCCTTCTTCCAGTTTCTTATTTTTATCCTTGAGAGATTTAAGCGACTTTTCTACCACGGAGTCATCATAACGGGGTTGTGAAGAATGCCACTGCCGTACTGGAAGATAACATGGCCCCAAAACACCTCCGTTAGCAGTGGGTGACCACAGGTCAAACGATCTCAAAGCTGTAAAGTGCCTTTGTCCTGATCCTTCAGTCCGATTGTAATCCCCTTTTGCAAAGCAAACATAAACAGGAGAGGCACTAGTGCAATATTTAAAATGAACAGTCCTGTAAAAAAAAGAAGTGAGTGTTTGTATTTACATGGCACATAGTACTTCACAATTCTTTGCATTTACCTTTACCCTATGAGTATACAAGACTAAGATAGTGACATGAAGGACCGTCCCAAAAGATTTGTATGAGTGGAGATATAAACCCAACACTCTTTCCACTACACCTTAAAGGCCCTCTGACAAAATCTATTCTGCTAAAAGACTTGCACACCAGATCACAACTATCAAGTTCTTGTTTCATGCTTTACAAGTTTACAGCTTCGTTTAGCAAAGTGTGTTATATTAGGATTTACTCCAAACCTACAGAAAAGTTTGAAGCAAGATGAAATGCCTTTTTCTTAGAATTCAGCAGCTAGAATTCACTCTCTCCAGAGACTATTACTTACAGCTGGGAATGGGAACCTCCGCTCCATTCTTGGCCTACCAAGGGGCTCAATTGGGCCCATGAGGCCACTTTCCCCAAACTGTACCTGACCTGTAATCAGCTGGTATCACTGGTCTTGGCAACTTAAAAGGAAAGCACAGGGAAATTCCTACCCTATGAAGGGGGAGGTACTGGTGCCCACACATTAATAGGCTTGTTTAAAAAGGCCAGAAAGTCTGAGGACCAATTCAATATATCCAGTTCAGTTTAAGCACTTATTTTATATACAGGCGCACCCCCATTTCATGTGCATTCCACTCACGTGCAACTGCATTTATGCATGCTGCCACAAAATAACTGATTTGAACCAGGATATGCTGCCAAAAGGGACGCGGGTGGCGCTGTGGGTTAAACCACAGAGCCTAGGACTTGCCGATCAGAAGTTCGGCGGTTCGAATCCCTGCAACAGGGTGAGCTCCCATTGCTCGGTCCCTGCTCCTGCCAACCTAGCAGTTCGAAAGCATGTCAAAATGCAAGTAGATAAATAGGTACTGCTCCGGCAGGAAGGTAAACGGTGTTTCCGTGCGCTGCTCTGGTTCGCCAGAAGCGGCTTAGTCCTGCTGGCCACATGACCCGGAAGCTGTACACCGGCTCCCTCAGTCAAAAAAGTGAGATGAGTGCCACAGCTCCAGAGTCGGTCACAACTGGACCTAATGGTCAGGGGTCCCTTTACCTTTATGCTGCCAAAATGGCACAAAAAGAGTAGAAGAGATGGAGAGCAGGGGAAAACAGCTTTCATGGCCGCTCCAAGACTCTTGCCACCCTCACTCACTCAGGATCTGAGAGTCCCTCCGCCCTCCATTGCCCTCTCCTCTGTGCCCCACAAGCAGGCAGCAATATTATTTATTGGGGGTGGGGGAGAAACTAGATAAGAAACCATGTCCAGCAACTTCCAAGCATAGCTGTCAAATTACAGATTTGAAAATAAGGGACCAGCAGCCTTGAAAATAAGGGATCAGCAGCCAAAATAAGAGATTTTCCAAGCACAGGTATGTCCAACTTCTGAGCCCCTCTGAGCCAAAGGCAGAAAGCCCAGCCAGCAGCCAAACGAAGCCTCAAGCGGTAGTTCCCACAGCGCAGCAACCCGGCAAAGGGGATGAAGCAAGGAAAACCACCGTCACCTCTCCGCTGGGAAGCGCTGAGCAAAGGCGAGTCCCCAGGCAACGGGGCAGATTTGATCGGCACAAGGCATGCAAGCTCCACCCCTCCAGTCGTTCTTAGACTCCTTATTGGGTGGCGCCTCCCTCCTCCCTGGCGGCAGGGAGGGAGGGAGAGGAGCTGCTTCCTTTGAAACCCAGGAAATTTAAGGGACATCATCAATAAGGGACAGCAGCGGGACACAGCACTGGGATAAGGGACTTTCCCGCCAAATAAGGGACGGTTGACAGCTATGCTTCCAAGACTAACAGAGAGAACGCCGAAAGGCCTCGCAGTGATGCTGGGCTACAGGAGCCACCTACCCCCAATTCAACTTTCCAGTCACCAGAGGCAGGCAGGGCGCACGAGAAGAACAGCACATTGCTGCCCAGGGAAGGTGGGTGGAATCTGCTGAGAGAGATGCTTCCCAGCCTCTCTCAACACCGCTCTTACCACTTTACGTGATTTCACGTATACAAGTGGAGTCTGGGAACATAACCCTTGTGTAAGTAGGGGGACGCCTGTAATCATTTCTATTGTGGATGTCTGCATGATTAATTTGGTTCCTCATACGTTAAGAGGAAAATAAACTAATCTCTAACTTTTGGAACTATTGGGGAAACTCAGTTACTTTGGATTATTTATTATCAACATCCCATTGAGGGAAAGTGATCTTCTGAATATGTTTACTTACGTATGATTTATTAGCCTCAGGGATGCACAGCTAAAACAAGCACGGTTTTCCAAATGACCTAGAAGTAAAAAATAAAATAAAAAAGAGTCTGTAAACCAGTAGATTGCAATACAATACATTGACCATTTGTAGCAGCACCAACATCAAAATAGCTTTGTTCAATACTACTACACCACTGCAAACAGAAACATTAATATGTTGTATGCTCAGGACAGGTTACAAGAAGCATTCAGGAGATGGGGTGATGAGCAAAGAAAGCAGATTATTCAAATAAAACTATATCGTAAGTCTCAAAGCCCAGCAATAACAGCAGCAAATGATTCAGTTTGCTTTCATTTAATTTTTAACTTGTACACTCTCTTTCCTATAACAATTTTCAATAGAACTAAAAGCAAGTTGTTCAAAATTCAAGAATTCATTTCACATAAAAGATTATAAACTAGAATCAACAAACAGAACAAAATCACCCCACCAATTGCAAAATGTTAAAAAAGCTGCACTGTAGTGCCTCTCACTCTCCAAAACATTATACATTTTATTTTTCTAGAAGCTATACTTTATGTTGTTCAAATATTAATTTTAAAATTATATATGTGAATAATTATTTAAATACCTGCGGTTAGGCAACTGTATGTATTGTCTTTATATGTAGTTTTAATATATGAATGATACACACTTGTACTGAGATGTGCTCTGCTTTATTTGTATTTAAAAATGGATTTTTAATTATTATTTATTTTGCAATTTGTTTTTTAATGTCAGTCTACAGTTACACCTTGCAATACTTAAGGCATAGTCATTAGTGGATAACAGACCATTCTTAGAAGCACTTAAGGCTACTTAAGAAGCACATACCAGATAAGATTAGCAATGAGATTCTAAGGGGATTTTAGAAAGAAAACAAGTGATTATCTTATTAAAGCTGAAAAAACACACCATAAAACTAATAAGAAAAATATACAGACCACAACAAAATGTAATCAAACAAAGCCAGTGTATGGCATACAATTGTTAGTATAAGGAAAAGGCAGGAGACAGAAATGCTTCTAAATTAGATCTGGGGATTAGTCACACTAGGAATACTCTGCAACTGCACATGTGCCATGTTTCACCTGAGATTTGGCACCTCACACAAAGCCTAGAGTAAACAGAAAGGCACGAGAGTGTCTGAAGTTTTCTACTGTTCAAAATAAATACGTTTGTAGCCTTCATTGTTGCAGAGATCTTTAAAGTATTCAAAAGGATATCGTGTTGAAGTGATAACGTTTCTGTATCATGAATGACTAAATGCATAGCCTAGACACTTTTCCACCTAATTATCACCAGACACTAAGTCACATCACAAAGACTAGTTATATAGGTCTCAGACACCACAAAGTATGTACATTCAGAAGTCTGTTCCCAGTAATCTTTGAGATATATTTTATACACCCATCAGTTTAATGGTCCCCAGATCAAAGTTCACTGAACACTTCACCTGAAGGAGTCATTGAATCATATTTTCAAAGGTTTCATAAAGAAGCTGCACTTAGAACAGTGAATAGAGGATTAACTAGTGCCATGCCAGTTCACCAGCTCCATCTTGCACCCTCCAGATGCAATCATTAGGCTGGGGTCCTCTATTCCGATGGCTTCATAATGCAATTAGTCTTTAAGCTTCTGAATAATGACTACAGCCCAAGGTGTGTACCTCCTTAAAGAGAACATGCCTCCTATGAGACTCATGACTTACCTAGACTAGCAGCTGCTAGCATGGGGACTGGGAATAAAACAGTGAAACTGCAATTGACTGGTGCTCAAATTCAGAGTGTCAATAACCTTCATAACGTTAAGCCTAGAAGCATTCCAAGGCTTTGCTTCATGCTATTATTTTACTTATTTGATCCCTACATGGCTATTTTTGGATACCACAGCAACCTGGATTGTACTAGAACACCAGACTCAATATTAACTCAAGGGTGCATCACCATTCTTTCTCACCTGCATAAAGGCACAACAGAAAGCAAACTATCCCACAAGCAAAGACCTGTATAATACGCACCTAAGCTGAAGATGGCAACACACTCCACCAATCACATCAAGAGATATTAATATTGCAATATTGCATTGCACCTAAAGCCATCTTAATGCAGAGTCAGGTATAAACCTCTATTGCCCAGTTCCAGGTACTCTGGAGAGCCAGTGGTGGCAGAGTGATTAGTGGCAGACAAGGACCTCCGAGAGACCAGGGCTCAGATCCCCCAAGTCAGCCATGAAGCTCTCTAGGTAAACTTGGGGGCCAGTCGCTGCCTCTCAGCCTAACTCTACCTCACAGGGTGGTGGTGAGGAAGGAAGGAAGTGAATATATTATTATTATTAATAATACTCCACCCATCTGGCTCAGTTTCCCCAACCACTCCACGCGGCTTCCAACAGAGGACTAAAAACAGATTAAAACTTCAAACATTAACAACTTCCCTAAACAGGGCTGCCTTCAGATGTCTTCTAAAAGTCAGATAGTTGACATCTAATAGGAGGGTGTTCCACAGGGCAGGTGCCACTACCGTGAAGGCCCTCTGCCTGGTGTCCGGTAACCTCACTTCTTGCAGTAAGGGAACTGCCAGAAGGCCCTTGGAGCTGGACCTCAGTGTCCGAGCTGAACAATGGGGGTGGAGACGCTCCTTCAGGTATACTGGACCAAGGCCGTTTAGGGATTTAAAAGTCAGCACCAACACTTTGAATTGTGCTCGGAAACGTACTGGGAGCCAATGCAGGTCTTTAAGGACCGGTGTAATATGGTCTTGGCGGCTGCTCCCAGTCACCAGTCTGGCTGCTGCATTCTGGATTAGTTGTAGTTTCTGGGTCACCTTCAAAGGTAGCCCCACGTAGAGCGCATTGCAGTAGTCCAAGCAGGAGATAACTAGAGCATGCACCACTCTTGTGAGCCAGTCTGCGGGCAGAACCACCCAACTCCACCTCCAGCTCTTTGGAGAAAAGGGTGGGATATAAAGGCAGTGCAAGGCAATCAGCCACACTCTGGCAGCAGCTCTCTGGAGACTCAGGCACAAGAGACCAGAGTTCAAATCACGCTCCGGCATGAAAGCTCGCTGGGGTGACCTTGGCAGCCTGTCACTGCCTGTCAACTCAACTCTACCTCCTCACAGGTTGTTCTTGTAGCGGGGATTAAATGAGTAAGAGGGAGCAAAGCTCCTCGGAGAAAACGGTGGGATATAAATCCAAGTAAGTAAGTAAACAATTATAAACAGCAGCTCTCCAGCAGCCTTTCCAAACTATGGGTCCCCGGTGGTTGTTGGACTACGACTCCCATGATTCCTAGCTATCACGGCCGGCGGTGGGGGACGATGGGAGTTGTAGTTCCTCAACATCCGGAACGGTTACCTGCGCCGGAGGCTCAGGGCCTTCTCGAAGCCACGCTGAGGGACGCTCTAAGGCTGACTTGTTGCAGCCGCTCCCCCTCACGGAGCCCCCCCCTCTCATACCCCAGGCCCGCCCCACCGGCGCCAGGCCCGGCTGTCCCCACCGCTTTCCTTCTCCCGCTCCCCGGTCCGACGCCGCCCTCACCGGCCTCGGGCTCCCACCGCAGGCGCCTCGGGACGGAGCAGGCGCCCCGGCCGCAGCGCGCCAGCAGCACGAACGCCATCTCTCCACCCGCAGGACGAGGCTGCCGGTCCGGCCTACAGAGCCGCGTCCGCTCGCTCGCCTCGCCGGGCCACTTTTCTCCTCAGGAGCCGCGGGGTGGAGAGCGGAGCCAGGTGCATGCTGGGAGAGGGAGTCTTCCGAGGGAGGGGAGAAGCGGCGCATGCCGGGAAGTCGAGCCCGGCGGCTCGAAGCGATTCCCGCAGAATCCCGTTGGACGGCCGAGTGGCCAATCGGAGCCGCCGGCTCCTGATACGCTGAGCCCGAGGCCGCGCCTGGAAGCCTCCGGGGCGGCTTCGGGCGCCATTTTTGTTTTTTTACCTCATCCCTTGAGGGGAAGCGGCGGCTTCCTCACGGGGAGCGGGAAAATTTAGAGAGGCGGCTGCAATGGGATGCCTTTCCCCGCCTAAACTTAAAGGCGGCAGGAAACTCCCCTGTTTTGTTTGTTACTGCGTTATGTTAGGATTACTGTATTATTATTATTACATTTGTAGCATCCTTTTTCTCCGTGTAGCCCATGTTGTTTTTTCAAAAAAAAATTATTGGTTTTCACAACATTATAAACAAACACATAGGACAAACAAGCATAAATCATAGCCTTAATGAAATTTACACTTATTAACATTGTTAGGTGACTTCCTCGCTTGCTTCCCCTTGGTTGAATTTCATTGCATATCCTTTTAACGGTTTTCCAAAAAAACAGTTCTTACAAAATTTAACTTCCTTAGATCTTCACATTATGAAATTAAACATATTACTTCATCCCTTAACATAAATAAAATCCTACGCCAATTAAGTATCTGCAAGATGTTTTCAGTTAATTTAACTGAACATAATTTACTAAGTAATCATTAAATTTAATCCACTCTTCCTGATACTCCTCCTTCTGGTTGCAGACTTTTCCGGTTAGGTTGACTAGCTCGGAAAAATCCATCATCTTCATCTGCCATTCTTCTATCATTGGTAATTCTTGGGTGTAGCCCATGTTTAGCTTCACAACAATGACCCTGTGACACAGGCTAGGCTGAGAGGCAATGGACATCACACCCAGCGAGCTTCAAGGGAACATTTGAACCCAGGGCTCTCCCAGGTCTGATTCCAGCACTCTGACCTCTACACCCAGTGCTGTTTTTCTAGAAGAAAGAGGTGCCTCCTATAATGGGAATGGCGCCCACCTGAGAGGTGCCAAAGCTGAGTTTTGATTAGTTCTGGCTGGGGAAAAAAGCCCTGCATTGAACTACAACTGGCCTAGGACAAAAAAACCATGTGGCGCTCCACTTGCCACTCCCCCGCCCCCCGCCGGATGACAAGGAACCATAAGTAAGCAATCCTGGGGTTTCGTTAGTTGGCCCGCTACAAATCCACCTAGCAGTAAACCTCATCCAGTTTAGAGCATCTACTTAAATAAAGTACCGTGGTACCTCGGGTTACAGATGCTTTGGGTTACAGACTCTGCTAACCCAAAAATAGTACCTCGGGTTAAGAACTTTGCTTCAGAATGAGAACAGAAATCGTGCTCCAGCGGCGCAGCGGCAGCAGGAGGCCCCATTAGCTAAAGTGGTGCTTCAGGTTAAGAACAGTTTCAGGTAAAGAACGGACCTCCGGAACGAATTAAGTACTTAACCTGAGGTACGTACCACTGTAAATTACCGTATTTTTCCCTCTATAACACGCAGATTTTTTCTCCTAAAAAGGAAGGGGAAATGTCTGTGCGTGTTATGGAGCGAATGTGTGGTCCCTGGAGCCAAAAAATCAAGCAAAAGTCAAATCGCTCTTCACGGAGAAGGGAAACCTGAAAAGAGGAAGTGGCAGCTTTCCTGTATTCTGCCTCAGGGTCTTACTGCCCACCCTCCTCTGTTTCGTTGCTGTGATTGCTGAAACGGAACAAAGAGCAGGGAAAGCCCCTCCCCTCCAGGCAAGCAGAGGGGAAAGTGTCGTCTCTGTGCTCCGGTACTGCTGGGGGAGAGGGAGAGAGAGTGGGGGAGGGAGAGGGAGAGGGGGGAGGGAGAGGGAGAGGGAGAGGGAGAGAGAGAGAGAGAGAGAGAGAGAGAGAGAGAGAGATATGGCTGGCTTGGGGGGGGAACTTTTGCCTCCCACCCGTTAAATCCCTCTCCAGCATTCTTAGCCAGCTGCTTCTCTGCACACCCCTCTCATGTCCCTTCTTTGTTTTTCCTTCGCTCCCCACTTAAAATGTGGTTACAAAGCATAGATCAACATGGATCCTCAGGATCTTTGCATTGGGTCACCCCAAATTCACCATCAGATCACATGTCTGTGGCCACAGCATGAAGCACAAAAATGATACATCCACTGTTTCATTCAGAATGTTTTTTCCCTTGTTTTCCTCCTCTAAAAACGATGTGCGTGTTATGGTCAGGTGCGTGTTATAGAGCGAAAAATACGGTAATCAGAACAGTAGAATTGGAAGGGACCAGGAGAGACAACTAGCCCAACCCCCCACCCCCATGCAGAAATCTCAGCGAAAGCATCCATGACAGATGGCCATCCAACCTCTGCTTAAAAACCTCCCAAGGAAGGAGTCCACCACCTCCCATAGGAGTTTGTTCCACTGTCAAACAGCTCTTGCTGTCAGTTATTCCCGATGTTTAGTTGGAATCTCATTTCTTGTAGCTTGAAGCCATTGATTTGAGTCCTGCCCTCAAGCAGGGGAAAACAAGCTTTTATCTTTAAAAAATTTAAATGGCTGTCATTTCTCCTCTCAACCTCCTCTTTTCCAGGCTAAACATACCCAACTCCCTCAACCCTTCCTCACAAGGCTTGGTTTCCAGACCCCTGATCATCCTGGTTGCCCTCATTTGCACACATTTCAGCTTGTCAACACCCTTCTTATTGTGGCTTCTGGAACAGTACTCCAGGTGTGGTTTGACCAAGACAGAATAGAGTAGACCTATGACTTACCAAGGGACGCGGGTGGCGCTGTGGGTAAAAGCCTCAGCGCCAAGGGCTTGCCAATCGAAAGGTCGGCGGTTCGAATCCCCGCGGCGGCGTGCGCTCCCGCTGCTCGGTCCCAGCGCCTGCCAACCTAGCAGTTCGAAAGCACCCCCGGGTGCAAGTAGATAAATAGGGACTGCTTACTGGCGGGAAGGTAAACGGCGTTTCCGTGTGCTGCGCTGGCTCGCCAGATGCAGCTTTGTCACACTGGCCACGTGACCCGGAAGTGTCTCCGGACAGCGCTGGCCCCGGCCTCTTAAGTGAAATGGGCGCACAACCCTAGAGTCTGTCAAGACTGGCCTGTACGGGCAGGGGTACCTTTACCTTTACCTTTATGACTTACCAGGATCTGGACATTACAGTTGATGCAGTCTAGAATAGCATTAGTTTCTTTTCTTTTTCCTTTTTTGCTGCTGCATCACACTTGTTGGCTCATGTTCAGCTAGAAGCTTACATTCATCCTCACTGAAATTCATTTTGATCGTTTTGGCCCAGTTCTCCAATCTGTTAAGTTGATATTGAATCCCGGTGCTGTCTTCTGTGGCATTAACTACACCTCCCAGTTTGGTGTCAGTCAACAGGCTACAAATCCACCTAACAGTTATTTTGTCTGGCCCACATTTTACCAGATTCTCTGTGAGAATATCATGGGGGACTTTGTCCAGAGGGTTACTGGAATCAATATATACTACGTCCAAGGCCCATCTGTGTCTCCATTTTGCAGACATGCTGTTGGCTGGCAGGGAACAAATAGGCATATTCAGAATTAATTCCTGGATGTCAAGATCCAAGTTTGGTGCAAGTACTCTTTGGTGAGAACCCCAGCAGAGATTTAAAATCACAAAATAAGGACGAGTTAGTAAAAGAAGTTATGATAAAGTGGGCGGTCTATTTTGGCTATAAGATTGAATACGACAAATGGGTTAAATTATGGAACATAGGTATGAAATTTACAGCATGCTCCACCTTAAGAGAAAATTTAGGAAAAATGATGTACCGGTGGTATATCACCCCAGTTAAATTGGCCAAAATGTATAAATTGAGTAATAAAGCGTGTTGGAAATGTAAAGTAAAAGATGGGGATCTCTACCACATGTGGTGGGAGTGTGAAAAGATGGAGAGAAAAAAAGGGATTTAATATATAATGAACTGAAGAAACTTCTTAAGTACACATTCCCCCCAAAACCGGAAGCTTTTCTATTAGGGATCATAGGGGAGGAAGTTAAGGAGGAGGACCATAAATTATTCCAATATGCTACTGCAGCAGCTAGAATACTGGTAGCTCAAAAATGGAAATTACAGGAGACCCCAACGATAATGGAATGGCAGGCCAATTTTTTTGAGTATACAGAATTAGCTAAAATGACCTACAGAATTCGAGACCAAAAAGGGACAAAGTTTGAAGAAGAACGGGGTAAATTTGTGGCATATATAAGATCTAACTGTAGAAGTTTAAAGACTACAGCAGGGTTGATATAAATCCTGTGATCTGTACGGAAAGTGAATAAGAATCTACAAGAGAAGACATACATTAAGAAAACCGAAGCGGGAAGGAAGGAAGTCTAGGCGTGAATATACGCAGTGTAAATAAGATGACATAAAATGATGACTGTAAAATATTGTTTTGTTTTTGTTTGTGAAAAATTTAATAAAAAGCAATTTTAAAAAATCACAAAATATGCAGCAAAGTAAAGCACAGAAACATAGGCTGTTAGACCTTTAATGTATGCCCTTATGAGTTTCTTCAAGAGTTCCCTTCTTCCCCTGGTATAGAAAAAGACTACACAATTGTTAGTCTTTTATTTACTGTACTTACTAACTCCTCAAAGGTGATATTCATGTGCTTTTCCTCACAGTATTCAAAAAAAGTTGCACAGGCAATAAAATACGACTTAGTTACAGCAGTGAAAGTGCCTAAATTACTGGTATAGGAACACAATAATGGCTTGAAAGAGCCATCAGGTCTGAGCTGTAGCAATCAGCTCAGCCTGTCTTCACATATAATAGACTGAAGTGAAAATGGCCTTCATTATCTTTCTCTCAAGTTGCAGGGGAGTGACCTACCTAAGTCTGGTAGTACAGTTTCCCCAAGGCATTAACTCCTTCATGCATTAATTAAACTTACACATGTTGGTTACATGAGGCCATGCAACAAATGGAGGCTGGATGTGTTGTGGGCAGGGCCAGGATAAAAAAATATCTACATGGAGCAGAATGAATCCTCCTTTGGAAGTCAGTGCAGGAAAGGCTATTACAGAGTAAATTAATATATTATACAGCAGACAAAGCAGAGCCTTCAGCATTGTACAATGGGTGATGACTCTGGCAGTAATTCTTGGTGTGAAGAAAAGGGTGTTAGGAATTCACAAAGGTGTCCCTGTTTTCATTAATAAAATGGGTATGCTTAGCCTGGAAAAGAGGATGATAGTCATCTTCAAATATCTAAAGAGCTGGAAGATGTAACAGAGCGTGTAGGTTAATAAATCATAAAAGTTCAACGTTGACGTTAACTGTTTAATAGCAAAACAAAATCTTCACAGACTTGCCTGAGTTTCAGGCCTAAATGAGCACAGCAGCTTATTCCATGTAGGCTGCATGTACAGTGGTACCTCAGGTTAAGTACTTAATTCGTTCCGGAGGTCCGTTCTTAACCTGAAACTGTTCTTAACCTGAAGCACTTTAGCTAATGGGGCCTCCTGCTGCCGCTGCGCCGCCGGAGCCCGATTTCTGTTCTTATCCTGAAGCAAAGTTATTAACCTAAAGCACTATTTCTGGGTTAGCGGAGTCTGTAACCTGAAGCGTATGTAACCCGAGGTACCACTGTACTCCATGAAACCAGTTGCCCAGATTAAAGGCCCCTCTTCCTAGTAGCTATATATGTCTCCTGTCCAGGGCTTTCCCCAAGCAATCAGAGACATTGCCTGTGTGCAGCCTGTCTTTGCTCTGCCCATTTCATGCCTCTCCTGGTTCTGGGAGTCAGGAGGAGGGAAGCTTGTTGCAGCAGGAGGTGGAGACACCCCTGACTGTTCACCAGCCAGACTCACCTCTGCCTCTTGACTCCCTCCTGCCACTCACCTGCTTCAGCCTCCGATTCAGGACTTCTCCTTTCTCTCTCGACTTTCCTGGCTCACCAAACCCTGTTACCTCTGCAGCTTTCAACACCTCTTCCAAGTCTTCTCCCTCTTTTCCTTCTGACTACTCATTTTTGTCCCACCACCACTTCCCGGGCAGAGCCGTAGCTATTGGGGGTGGGGAGGTGAAATATACTCGGTGTCGAGAGTGGATTTCATGCTCTTTATTCAGCTCATAGTGGTAAGGAGGAATGGAAGTTCCCCCACAATATCTGCTTTATATACATTATTTACACAATGGGCTGCACGTGACTCGCTAGTTCCGGGATACTCCTGTAGGCCAATCAGGTTGTGGATTCACTTCCACCTGGAGCTGGATTGGGTGGCTCCTGCAGACCAATCAGACTGCTGCATTCTGAATCCTATTGTTCTAGGACCAATCAGACTGCTGCATTTTGGATCCTATTCAACTCAGTACATAACAGGAGGCTTGCTGGGATTTTTGCCCCAGGTGAAGCCTGCAAATTGAGGCTCCCAGCCTGTGTGTGCACAAATGCGCGTAGGGGTGCCAAACTGGGTCTTTGACCACATGAAATACAATAAAACCTAGTTTTGCCCCTGCCCCGGGCTCTGAGCCTTCTTTCCATGGCGTTCCTTGCACCATTCCTCAGCATCCATTACAGAAGATGGAGCAAGCTTGTTTTCTCCTTTCAATGGATTCAAGTTACAAGAAAGGAATTTCCTCCTAAACATCAGGAAGAACTCGGTCAGTAAGAGCTGTTGAACAGTGGAACTGACTCCCTCTGGAGCTGATGAACTGGACTCTCCTTCCTTGGAAGTTTTTAAGCTGAGATTGGATGGCCATCTCATAGAATCATAGAGTTGGAAGAGACCACAAGGGCCATCGAGTCCAACCCCCTGCCAAGCAGGAAACACCATCAGAGCACTCCTGACATATGGTTGTCAAGCCTCTGCTTAAAGACCTCCAAAGAAGGAGACTCCACCACACTCCTTGGCAGCAAATTCCACTGTCGAACAGCTCTTACTGTCAGGAAGTTCTTCCTAATGTTTAGGTGGAATCTTCTTTCTTGTAGTTTGGATCCATTGCTCCGTGTCCGCTTCCCTGGAGCATCAGAAAACAACCTTTCTCCCTCCTCTATGTGACATCCTTTTATATATTTGAACATGGCTATCATATCACCCCTTAACCTCCTCTTCTCCAGGCTAAACATGCCCAGCTCCCTTAGCCGTTCCCCATAAGGCATCGTTTCCAGGCCTTTGACCATTTTGGTTGCCCTCCTCTGGACACGTTCCAGTTTGTCAGTGTCCTTCTTGAACTGTGGTGCCCAGAACTGGACACAGTACTCCAGGTGAGGTCTGACCAGAGCAGAAAACAGTCGCACTATTACTTCCCTTGATCTAGATGCTATACTCCTATTGATGCAGCCCAGAATTGCATTGGCTTTTTTAGCTGCCGCGTCACACTGTTGGCTCATGTCAAGTTTGTGGTCAACCAAGACTCCTAGATCCTTTTCACATGTACTGCTCTCAAGCCAGGTGTCGCCCATCTTGTATTTGTGCCTCTCATTTTTTTTGCCCAAGTGCAATACTTTACATTTCTCCCTGTTAAAGTTCATCTTGTTTGTTTTGGCCTAGTTCTCTAATCTGTCAAGGTCGTTTTGAAGTGTGATCCTGTCCTCTGGGGTGTTAGCCACCCCTCCCAGTTTGGTGTCATCTGCAAATTTGATCAGGATGCCCTTGAGTCCATCATCCAAGTCGTTGATCTGTCATGGATGCTTTAGCTGAGACTCCTGCATTGCAGGGGGTTGGACTAGAAGACCTTCAGGGTCCCTTCCAACTCTAGGCTTGCACCATTAATCAAGCAACTGCTTTTCTGCTGCTTATCTCAATACCATTTTTTCTAAGGATGCTGATGTCGTTATTTAAATTTGTTAGGCACTTTCTCTTGCCTAAGGCAACCCAAAGCAACTTGCAACCAACCAACGAATCGAATCCACCCCACATAGATGCATTAAAACTAAGGGGGATAAATAAATACGTTAAAAACCTCCCACCCGTTTTTATGTTCTTGTTAATACCGTTTTAATGCTGCGAAAGGCTCTGGAACCTTATGGAGGGCTCCATATAAAACGGATTTTGTTATGGTTTCTTATGTTACAGTGCCTATCTATTTATATCTATAATATTATGATTTTAAAATGGATTTTGCTACGGTTTTCTCAACTAAGAGCCTTGTGGGTGTGTAAAGGGAGGGCGCGATTCTCCTCCTCCCCCCTCGCTCGCTCGCCTCCTGCCTCCGAATCGGGTCCCCCTCCCACCCGAGGGCGCCGCGTGCGCGCCCCTCCCCTCCGGCTCGCGCGGCTGGTTTGAATGAACCGCTTCGGGAGTTGCGGCGCGAAGGCGGCGCCGGCCAATCAGAGCGGCGCATTTTTCGCGCTGGTTTTGGGCTGCGGGGGGGGGCGCGGCGGCGGTGAGGCGCAGGAGGCGGAGACCAAAGGGGACGATCGCTCGCTCGCTCGGTCTGTCGGCGGCCCGTTCGCTCTCTCGCTCGCTCGGGGGAGGAGGAGGGGGCGGCCGGGGAAGAAGGAGCCCACCGTCCCGGGGAGAGACGAGGCGGCCGAGAGAAAGAGCGAGGCCCCCGCCTCACAACGCCTCAGCAGCAGCAGGTCAGTGGCGGGAGGGCGGCCGGGCCGGCCTCCCCTCAGGGGTTGCGGGGCGGGGGCGCGCCCGCCGTTCTTTCCCGCGCGCCCGTCTCCCGGGGCGGGGGGGGGCGTCTCCGCGTCCCGCCTGCCTCCTTCCGAGGCGGGCTTCCCTCGCCCGAGGCACGGAGCCGCTTTTTCCACCTCAGGCGCCTCCTCTCCTTCCCGGCCTCGGGGGGTTCCGGCGCCCCCTCGCACCCCCACCCCACCCAGAAAGACGCCCCTCGGGGCCGGCCGCCCCTGCAGGCGCTTCCCCGCGACCTCACCGGGGTCGGGGCGCCGCCTCTGCGGGAGACGTAACTCGGGAAGAAAGGGTCAGAAGTGGAACCGGGGCCCGGAGTTGGGAGGGTCTCGGGGGAGGACGGGGGCCGGGGCGGGCTGGGAGGCTTTTCTCCTCCCTCGGCCTCGGGACCCGGTTGTGGGGTCGCCCGCTCCCTTGGCCGGAGGCAGCAGCTGCCGCCGCTTCTTGCCTGGGCTGCGGGAGGGAGGGGGCGAGGATGCAACTCCGGGAACGTATGGGCAGGGAAGGAAGCCATGTTTGATTCATTCCCCACCAAGGGAGCGCTGTGCGGTTGGGGATGCGGTGCGCCAGCCCTGCTGCTGCTCGGCGTATGGGAAAGGGATGCAATAAGCCCTCCTAGGGCGCGCTCCCTCTTCGGCTTAAGCCTGGCTGTGAAGCGGGGCCGATTGGCCTGGGAAGACCTTTTCTCCTGACCACCCACCAACCAAACCCCGCCCGCCCGCACATCGCCAGCTTGGCCCGATGTCCTTCTGGCAAGAAGGAAAAGCCTCGGTCGGAGCTCCTCTGGGGAAAGGGGATTGCAAAGGACGCCTCTGGGGCTACTTCACAACGCAGCAGCTGCTGGGGTTTTTTTCCCCCAGAGGGAAAACGGTCTTCCATCTCCTAGGAATGAAACGTTTCAGATTTTTTCCTTTTTTTTTTGCTAGGGAATTAAAAACCAATAATAGATCGCTCTTTTATTTCGCGTTGCCACGTGCATGGGTTTCTGCATTCCTAGGGATGCGCAAGCCAGTCTGGGGCAATTGATCCGAGAGACCGACTTCCTAGGGTTTTGAAATCTAGGGCTTTTGGGTCACCTAATTAAGAGGCATGGAAGTGGGGAAATAGACTCCATTGAAGGCATCAGAGGTGCACACTTGCTGAATCTTTGTAATGTTAAATTGCTTTAATGTACAGTGCATTAATAGATTGGTTCTTCAGTCTCTTGAAAGACAGCATTTGCTGTGCAGCTGTTAGATGGTATTCAGTAAACTTATGAGCTGACCTGAGGATTGCCCATAAAGTGCATCATGCTCCCATGAGTTCACAATGAAAACATGACAAAGGAGGGGTGTGTAATTGCTAAAATGTGATGGGGATGGAAAATCAAAAGGACTTTTAAAACTAGAGCATATAACTAACACCTATCTGCTTTAAAAGTGTGGCATTCTTTATACAGTTCTTTTGTAGAGCATATTAAACTGGTCTGTTTAACAAAAATGCGAAACGTTAGAACTCAGGTGTTGTTTTGCTTACAAAGGCTTGGATTTGATTCCTTCATTGGTACTTGGCAATTTATTTTGTTTGATTGGTCTCTTCTTGCTTTAGCTGTATAAACTGATTTATAATGGGTATCATTTATCACTATTCCCATGATTTTATACAAAAATCAATGCATGTTTAAATAACAAAAACAATTTGCTTAAAAAATAGCTTGGTGCTGCCTCAGAGCAGCAGTCATTGGTACATAGTACAATCCTATGTATGTATAAAAAGAAGTAAGCCCAACTGAGTTAAGAACCAATGGCAACGAGGACTTTGGTGCTCACTGAGTGACCTTGTGCCAATCACCATGTATTATGAAATACGAGGGCCTCTTAAATAATGTGGATCTCTTCTCCTGAGCCACCCTGAAGATCCCAGTAATCTGAACAAAGCTCCAAATGCTTTTTGTAGTTTATTTTGTCATCTACCTGTCCAAGCAAAGCCGTGTTCTCCACTCCACCCTGCCCAAGGCTTGAAGCTGGATTTAAAATAAGTCTTTTGTCCAAAAGAACCCACAGCTGAGCATAACCTAACAGTTTCTGTCCAGAATCTAATGGATTTTTTTTTAAAAAAATTGCTCTCATCACTGCTCCAATAAGATTTTACAATTCCATTTCTAATCATAGAATAGTAGAGTTGGAAGGGACCATGAGGGTCATCTAGTTGGACCCCTGCAATCTTTTTGCTCAATGTGTGGGGTTCAAACCCTGAGATTAAGAGTCTCACACCCTGCCAATTGAGCTATCCCACCCATCAGTGATGCCAACAGTATGCTGTATGTTGATTCAGCCCTCTGCTGCACTTGCAAAAGAGACACATTTGCTTGCATTTCATGTCTCATGAAAACTTGTGCCCCCTTTTGCAGGTGAGCCCCCCTAAAATGTCAGGGGTCTCCACGGGTAATAAGATATCTGAGATGCACAATATCAACAGGGATGCGGGTGGCACTGGGGTCTAAACAACTGAGTCTCTTGGGCTTGCTGATCAGAAGGTGGGTGGTTCGAATCCCCACGACGGGGTGAGCTTCCATTGTTCAGTCCCAGCTCCTGCCAACCTAGCAGTTCAAAAGCATGTCAAAGTGCAAGCAGTGGGAAGGTAAACGACGTTTTCCGTGCACTCTGGTTTCCATCATGGTGTTCCATTGCGGCAGATGCGGTTTAGTCATGCTAGCCACATGTCTGCAGACAAAGGCCAACTACCTCGGCCTGAAAGCGAGATGAGCGCCGCAACCCTATAGTTGCCTTTGACTGGACTTAACCGTCCAGGGGTCCTTTACCTATCACCTATCAACAGGAAAAGGGATGCGGGTGGCGCTGTGGGTTAAACCACAGAGTCTAGGACTTGCCGATCAGAAGGCCGGTGGTTCAGATCCCCACGACGGGGTGAGCTCCCGTTGCTCGGTCCCTGCTCCTGCCAACCTAGCAGTTCGAAAGCACGTCAAAGTGCAAGTAGATAAATAGGTGCCGCTCCGGCGGGAAGGTAAACGGCGTTTCCGTGTGCTGCTCTGGTTCTTCAGAAGCGGCTTAGTCATGCTGGTCACATGACCCCCGCAGCCAATAAAGCGAGATGAGCGCCGCAACCCCAAAGTCGGTCACGACTGGACCTAATGGTCAGGGGTCCCTTTACCTTTTTATCAACAGGTAAAGTTTTCCCAGTAATTGCATTCCCATATCAAAGGCTTACCCAGTTTAATTTTTGCCTGCCACACAGCTGTTAAAGCCACAATCCTGTTCTACAATGCCAAGCCTAAATCTTACAAGGAACTCAAGAATAAAAACAACAATGAAACATTTAGGCAACTTGATAATGTTTTTAAATTTAAAAATAGTAAAAAATAGACGTTTGATTGTTCAGAAATGTAATATAACATTCATAGGCAAAGAAAGTGATGAGCCATTAGTAATAAAAAACATGCACAAAGCCAATTAAGCATGTATCATTCCACCCTCCATGCTTTGATTGCTACATAAACGAAATACTCTGAGCACGTGCAGGTTCACATTTTGAATTCATTTAACTCACTGTTTTTGCTCACTTCCTGCAAGTTGCTAGCTCAATCTAAGCTAGACCACATGTCTGCTGTGAAAATATAGGAGGTATAAAATGGCTGCAAAAGGGGGCCTAGTATTTGTATCATTGGCGTCAAAATTTGGCTCCCTTATCCAGAGTGAGGCATCTTTGTACTATGAAGGGTCATGCTTTTCTTCCCATATTAGCACAGTTCCGCTTCAAGGCTAACCTATATTAATCTGCCCTGATTATTGTATGTTGAGCAGGATGCGTAAGGTCCACTTGTATTCACCTGAGCTTACTCTCAGTTTGTTGTGGGCATTTATTTCTAAGACGAGTTATTGGGGAAGTGAGGAAAGCAGAGTGATCTGCTTTCATTTTGGAAAGGCAGTATTCTTCCTAATTGCTCATTTTTTTAAAAAAAAAGTTCTGTTAAAAATTTTATTTGATTTTATATACACCTCTTTTATAAAACAACTTTATGTTCTGTTTTGCCTTGATACTGATATTTTCATTCTTGTGCCCCTTCCTAGCAAAGCCAAGACTGTAATCCTGCACCTACTTCTAGGAGTAAGTCCCATTAAACAAAAAAGTAGGCATGTATTCAAAGGGTTCTTAATGAATGCCTGCGCTCCAGATCCTTCTAATTTGCAACCCACTACATCAGTACCCCCGGAACCAGGCTCTTGGTGGGCCTGTGTATAAAAGCTAAAGCCTTCTGATTTTCAGTGCAAGGTCTTTAATGTATAGTCTACAAATTTGGTTCTACACGCAACCACTTTTCACCTAAGTAGCTTACCTTTTCTATTTTTATGAATTCTGCATTTGCGATATGACCTACCTGCTTCTGTGTTATCAACTTCACTATATCTACCATTATACTGTGCTACAGTTGGCCCTCACAAATGCTTTTCTCACAGCAATCATATGCTTGTTTATCCAGATGTATATCTCATTCATTTTAATTGAGGTTATAGGCAACAACCAAATTACATGTGTCAGATTGACGCGCAACTGGGCAGAACCCAGAAGTGACTTTAAAAATGGCCCTAAAAGAGCCTAGAAAGCGTGAAAAAGTTGCAAAAACAGTGCCTAGCAATCCCACAAGCCTTTGCAATTGCAACCCCAGGAGCCCTTGCATCGACCGTTGAGAACTGGAGAGTTTGAGTTTGAGCAAAATGGTTTGGAGGGAGCAATTGTGGCGAAGTTTGGCATCTGGTAAGTGCTGCTGGTTTTTTCAAGGGTTTAGAGGGTGTTTGCAGGCTTTTCCAATAAGTGTTTCACATAAATGTGCAGAGCCTTCCAACATAAGTCCTGCGTAAATTGGGAGTTGCCTATACTCTCAAGCAGGCATGCACAGAAATGCATCTTATAAAGTGAGCAATAGGAGCTATTTTCATCATTGCTCATG